AATAGAAATTACATGACTATTGTAATCAGCTATAATGTCTTTTGAATCAAAACTTGAATCAAACAGCAGTGTGAGAAAATCAATTTTAGCTCACTCCAAACGAATAATAATAATATAATAATTATCCCTTTACTGTCAACGGTAATAAAAAAAATGTCATCAAGGAGTAATAGTCTGGTTTTTTTTTACTGATTAAAACTTCTTCGTTTTTCTATGTAATATATTTTTTTCCTTTGTTTTTCGCCTCAGACATGTAATTTACAGCGTCAGTTTGCCTTGCATGTTCCCTTTAGTAAAGTTTAGTATTACAGTTTTCATCATTGGCTTGTGAGGACTGATACAGATTTAAAATAGTAACTCTTTCTTACTAGTATCCTACTCTCATTAATTTAAGATGGTTTACTTACACATAGATCTAATACAACTTTATTAAAAAAAAAAAAAACAGAAAATTCAAATGTGTAATTAAAGAATTTTTTTATTTTTTATTCGCGTGGTGATCTGATGGGGTGTAAAGAATGTATTCGAAAATAAAAATATGTTAAATTTTGCACACATTCCTTCAAGCATTCACTATAATAAAAGGCATCAATAGTACAAATAAAAGAAACAATATTGCTAAAAGTTGTATGTTTTAAATACGGTTAAGTTTTATTTAGAAATTGATTAAATAAACTTGAATCGTAATCATATTAATCAGCAAAGTTTACTATCTACGTTTTCTCATACAGAACTCTGAACTTCTTTATTATATGTATTTTATTTTAAATAATTCATTATTTTTATGATTATTAGGCCAATAGTTAAAAGATAGTCTCCCCTGATTCGATGAGCTATTTATAAAGGTGGACAGCTATTACATTAAAATCCTTTGTGTATCGTTTAATGAAAGTGTGAGCGAATAAGAATCTGAATACAATTTGTATTCAAATTCTTATTCGCTCACACTTTCATTAACAATAGTTTCTACTTTAGCGTGTAGCCATGTCTTTAAATATAGGGTTGTCGTGGTCGGATTGTAGAGTATTCAACTACTAACCCAAAAGTCTCGAGTTTAAATGTCCCTGAGTCTACCCAGTTCTGATGGCTGTCTGACTTACATTATGGAAAGTTAAGGGTTCTGACCATTGCGCTGACCCAGAGGCGTAGCGATGGGGGGGGGGGGGGGGCAGGGGGGAACATATGTCCCCGGGCGCCGACCTTAGGGGGCGCCATAATGGGTTGTAAAAATAAATTAAAATTTTTGCAGTTTGAGGGGGGGGGGGGTGAAAATCGAAAGTTTGAGGGGAGGGGGGTGCGAATTGAAAATTTGCTCCCGAGGGGGGCGCCAAATTGAAAGTTTGTCCCCGGGCGCCGGAAAGGGTCCATACGCCTCTGCGCTGACCACACTATCCTTGCATGTGTCGTTTTCATTAAAAAGTGATTTGTATTTCACTTGCACTATGGTCCAATAGATTACAATGGGTGTCACAAGTAGCCACTGTTTCACATATGTAGCCATTGCTGTACACACGCGGTCACTGTTTAACGCATGTAACCGCTAGTTTTACATGTGTAGACAGTGTTTAAATTATATAATCTGTTTGTCACAGGTATCCACTTTTTTGCACATGCATTCACTGTTTTATACATGTAGCCCTTGTTTTACGCGTGTAGCCACCGGTGTATACATTTAGCCACTGTGTTACACCTGTAGCCACTGTTTGACATCAGTAGCTTTTATTTTACACCAGCAAGTTTTTTTTTTTACATCTGTAGTCAGTTTTGTACACCTGTAGATACTGTTGTGCACATGCAGCCACTGTTTCACACCTTTAGCCAGTATTTTACACATGTAGTCATTGTTTTACACCTGTAGCTACTGGTTTACACGAGTAGCTTTTATTATACACAATATGTATCCAGTGTTTTACACCTGTAGCTGCCGTTTTACACATGCATCTATTGTTTTACACCTGTAGCTACTGTTTTACACCAGCAGCTTTTATTTTACACCTGTAGCCACTTTTTTTTTACACAGGTAGCCACTTTTTACGTCAACAATGCTACCAACACCGACTGGGAAGACATGGCTTACGGCCCTTGCTTTGACGACTGCAGAAGTGGCACTTGCAGGTGATTTTATTCCTTGTATAGAACCAACCACCGACGTACTATAGATACCAAAATTATACCATTTGAAACATGAAGCCAAGTTATAATGTATAAGTATTTTAAAATGTTTAAACTGCAGATTATATTTAATGTAAACGTATTTTAAAACATTTAAAATGCAAAATGTCTTTTATGTAAACGTATTTTAAAATGTTTTGCAGTGTAGACTGTCTCTACCGTAATCGTATTTTACAATATTTACAATGCAGACTTTCTTTACTATAAACATATTTGAAAATGTTTACAGTACGTACTGAATCTAAAGTAAAACTATTTGAAAATGTTTACAGTACGTACTTAATCTAAAGTAAAACTATTTGAAAATGTTTACAGTACGTACTGAATCTAGTGTAAACCTATTTGAAAATATTTACAGTACGTTCTGAATCTAATGTAAACCTATGTGAAAATGTTTACAGTACGTACTGAATCTGAAGTAAACATATTTGAAAATGTTTACAGTACGTACTTAATCTAAAGTAAACCTATTTGAAAATGTTTACAGTACGTACTGAATCTAATGTAAACCTATTTGAAAATGTTTACAGTACGTACTGAATCTAATGAAAACCTATTTGAAAATGTTTACAGTACGTACTGAATCTAATGTAAACCTATGTGAAAATGTTTACAGTACGTACTGAATCTGAAGTAAACATATTTGAAAATGTTTACAGTACGTACTTAATCTAAAGTAAACCTATTTGAAAATGTTTACAGTACGTACTGAATCTAATGTAAACCTATTTGAAAATGTTTACAGTACGTACTGAATCTAAAGTAAAACTATTTGAAAATGTTTACAGTACGTACTTAATCTAAAGTAAAACTATTTGAAAATGTTTACAGTACGTACTGAATCTAGTGTAAACCTATTTGAAAAATTTTACAGTACGTACTGAATCTAAAGTAAACCTATTTGAAAATGTTTACAGTACGTACTGAATCTAATGTAAACCTATTTGAAAATGTTTACAGTACGTACTGAATCTAATGTAAACCTATGTGAAAATGTTTACAGTACGTACTGAATCTAATGTAAACCTATGTGAAAATGTTTACAGTACGCACTGAATTTAATGTAAACGTATTTGAAAATGTTTACAGTACGTACTGAATCTAATGTAAACCTATGTGAAAATGTTTACAGTGCAGACGTGAAGCCCAGCCGTTACTGCCTCTACATAGCAGACATTGGTGACAACGGGGGTCATGGTGCCGCTGACGTCATCTACGCCGTTCAGGAACCCGCGAGTCTGCAGGACGGAAGTGTGGATCTCGTCGGAGTCCTCCGCTTCAAGTGTGTTCTTTTTACTGCTACCTCGCTATTCTATCGTGTCAAATATGTTGGATGAATGGATATTTATTGTTGAATTTCACCGCTTAAATTTTGTTCTTTTAATATTACCTAGCTATTCTACCGTGTCAAATATGTTGAAAGCATGGCTATTTTTGAATTTCACCGCTTAAATTTTGTTCTTTTAATATCACCTAGCTATTCTATAGTGTAGAACATGTTGGACGTGTTAATATTGTTGAATTTCACCGCTTCAAGTTTCTTCTTTTACCATTAGTGTTTCTTCCAGACTTTTTCCTACGGGGGGGGGGGGGAAGGGGGGCCATTTTATGTTTTCTGGGGGGGGGGGTGGACAACTATGTTTACTAGTTTACAATTACTTAACTATTCTACAACGTAAAATCAAATTATTTCTTAACAAATGGCTTAGAGGTGATTAACTCCGAAACATTAAGGTATTGCGTGTCAACATATTATGTGCGATATAATTTCTATTTAAGACCTGTTGACTTCGACAACATGTTTTTCTTTCTAGGTTGCATTCTATAGCCTTTGACCAATTAAAAACAAGCTGGTTCAGATATCTAGTATCTAATACTAATAGAATATATTTACATACCAATACTTTATTTAAATGGCAATGTAGTAATTAAACAATATGTCACTGCCATTATGGCTTTGATACTGCAATCTAGGCGATGTTATAAGCACGCTTCTATTTTTACATTAACTCTTTGTATGCTTGCTAAGGGTTGAAAATCCCATGTGTTCTGTGTACTACATTCTAATGATAGTCTCACCATGTGTTTTTTTTTTGTGTACTACATTCTAATGATGGTCTCACCATGTGTTTTTTTTTTTTGTGTACTACATTCTAATGATGGTCTCACCATGTTTTTTTTTGTGTACTACATTCTAATGATGGTCTCACCATGTGTTTTTTTTTTGTGTACTACATTCTAATGATGGTCTTTCCTTGTGTTTTCTGTGTACTACATTCTAAGGATTTTCTCCTCTTGTGCTTTTTTGTGTACTACATTCTAAGGATTGTCTCCCAATGTATATTTGTGTACTGCATCCTAATAACTATATTCCTATGTGTTTACATGTACTATATCCTAAAAATATCCCAATGTGTGTTTGTTTACACCATACATTAATTTAATAGTGCATATACCTATTCTTCATGGAACGGAATGGTCTAGGCGGTAAAACGCTAGGCTGCTAACACGGAAGTCTCAGGTTCGAATCTGGGCTCAAGTCAGTTGAACTCATGGTAGGGAAAGTAATGGCCGCTGGGCAAAGTGCTGATCATATACCAGATCAAGAAACTTATGAACTCTACTTCATAATCCCAAAAGAGAATTATTTACTTTATATCGATTGCGCATACACGAAATTGATTTTCCACCCGAGCTGGTTTTTTTTGCTTACACCGTGCATGTCATCTACCTGTTGATTGTATTACAGCTGGACAGAACCGGACGCTGAGACCTTACTCCTGTCACCTGACGGTCGGTTCTTTATCGTCTCCAAAGTTTCCGGCGGTCAGGCCAAGATATCTCAGCTACCCGCTACCGCGTGGAACTCTGGGAGGTAGCCACTCAAGTTTAATTCTTCTATTTTATTTTTTATTTTATTTTTTTATTTTTTTTATTTCAAATATTTAATCAACGTGAAAACTGTATAAGATAAACAATAATATACTTGAAAATTAAAAAAAAAAAAATGTAAAAACATTTGTTTTTATGTTTTTGGAATTTCCGGAAGATACTTTAAAACTTCCGGGGAGGCGGACACTAGATAAAGTATACTTTTTCGGTACGAATTATATATTTGTTTCTTTTGTTCGCGCGGGTGATGAGCAGAGTTTCTTCCAGGCGTCTTTTGGGGGCGCGAGCCCCCCCCCCTCCCCTTCTCCCCCCAACTTAACACGAAGAACGTCTACCGTCCCCACCCCCGAATGAAATGGAATTTATATAGAAAATGTATACTTTACCCCCCCCCCCCCCCTAAAGAGAAAAAAGTCTGGAGAAAAACTGGTGATGCGTATGGGGTGGGTCAGCGTCGCCTCATAGAGAAGCCTTAAAGAAACACTGCATCCTGGGATTTATTTCTTTTTTCCTAGCGTCGTTGACCTAGACGAATCAAAGATGGCGACCCTACAAATCAACACCACAAGCAACGACCCTCAAGGGGGTGATATCTCGCCAGATGGGAAACAACTGCTGCTGATAGCTGAGCACAACATTTATTATTTTGGGTTTGTCTCCCTTACATTACCAATTTATTTTGCTGAGTTCAGATTAAAAAGTGTACATTAAAGTGCTAATATTTTCACATTGTGATAATGACAGTAGACTTGAAAAGCCGGTTCCAAATGGTTCAAAAATGTGTGTTGCCAAAAAAGCATATTTTTGACCAAACTTGGAAATTTTATAACATTAGTACAAAATTACTTCCGGTTTCCTTAATAGTCAAAGAAAAAATACTAGATCTAGTAATATAATAGTAATTTAGCAAACACTTTTATTTTTAATTTGGATTAGTAGTGTCAGGGTGTTGTATTGATTGGGGATGTTATATTATTTAATATAAATACAATACTACGCTATACACCATAGATCACTTTTGTGTATTTTTATCAAAGAAACAATTGTTCTGACTTTTATTGTTTTACTCTCCCTGGCCATTCCGGTTGACTTCACGGAGAGGTTTAGGGGAGTTTTTGACAATATTTGAATTGATAAAATAATTCTAAACAGCGTTTCAACGGTTTTTATTCGATACAAAAATATATAAAAGAGAGTGTAATCGATGGTTCCCCAAAGGCTTTGATTTTTACAAATGTTACTATAATTGAATCGCTTGCAATATTTAAAAAAAAAAGATTGTTTCAAAAATTTAGTATGAATACATAAACTTTTCATGCCTATTCTGTAGAAAATATACATTACAAGTATTCATTACGCATAGAATATATATATATATATATATATATATATATATATATATATATATATATATATATATATATATATATATATATATATATATATATATATATATATAGGCCTATATATATATATATATATATATATATATATATATATATATATATATATATATATATATATATATATATACAAAAACTAGGGTGCCTGACGGTGACTACATCAAAGCCTTTGAGAACCAGCCTCCCTCTGCCGTTGATACCTACGATAGAGTTAAAGACTCTGAAGGAATAGCATGGGCACCCGACCAGCTTGGTTTCTACATCAGTAGTATAGTAGGTCCCCTTTGGGTATTATTGAGGTGGAGGTGGTGGAGGTGGGACAACTGTTGCATAAAAGGTGGAGGTGGAGGTGGAGGTGGGACAACTGTTGCATTTTTTGACCGTTATTGATTGATTTTTGCCCATCTGTTGCATATTTTGACCGTTATTGATTGATTTTCGACCACCTGTTGATTTTTGTCCCTGTTTTTTGCCCACCTGTTGATTATTTTTAACCCGTTGTTGATTGTTCATTAACCAACTGTTGATTGTTTTGATTAGTAGGGTATTGTATTGATCGGTATGTTGACCACTTGACCAACTGACCACGTGTTGGGCAGAGGTGGAGGTGGAGGTGGATTCCCCTATTGATTTGTTTGTATTGAGGGTTAGGGTACCTAGTAGTTGACCAATTGACCAGTTCTTTTATTAACGGTTAAAATAAAGTTATACATTTGTTTACCAGTTGACCAACTGACCAGTTGTTGACCAGTTGACCAATTGACCAATTGTCCACTTGTTGATAAGATGTTGGTTGTTTGTATTGACCTGGACGACAGTCCAGCTTTAACAGTATATAGTAAAATAGTATTTCCCCACCTCCAATGGGGGTGTGGGTGGGGGTGACGCGGGTGGGGGGAGGTGGTAGCAGGTGGTACCCCTTCCCTTTGTGTGTTGCAATCTCATTCTCCCTTTGTCTGACGTCTGTGTGAGCATGTCCTTTTGTGTGCCGCTACTCGCGTCATACTCAAAGGCAGGTGCCCTACCCCATTGTCTAATCCAACTCACGCGCCTTTACTATCGATTTTTTAAAAGTCATGTTTAAACATGTTGACCGTATAAAATCTTTGTTGAATAGGACTGGTGGATGTCGAATTCTACTCGTCTTAATATAAAGAGATACAGCACGTGCCAACACCCGGGCCGATTATTGACCCCACTGGTGGTTTCTACTTGCTTGTTGTGTTTATGGTTTGCATTTATTTACACATACACATTCACACACACACACACACACACACACACACACACACACAAATGAAACTAAAATCAAATCACAACAAAAGACTTCTTATATTTTATGAATTTATTTCAACTTTCTCCAAGTCATCAAACGCTTTTAAAATATCATATCTCAGGGCGAGTAAACGTTCAAAAGCTATACGAGAGAGATTTATTCCAGAATTATTAGGAAATTTAAGATCTGTACCATCCATAAGATCTCTAAGATTTAAAGTGTTTTTGTTCATGAATTGACTAACGATAGCTACTTTATAACCACTGTCATTCGTCGTTCGTATTTCCGTCACTTTATTACTACTTCTGGCGACAAGTATCCAATCTTCACTAGACATCTTGAAAGCGCGGAAATAAACGTTTATAATTAGTCCCAATAAGTGCAAGGGTTAAACGTGATATAAGTCGATCGTTAATATATTGTCGAGCCGGTGAAGCTGAAAAAGGGTGGAGAATAAGTTTTAGGCTAGCTCCCCGAACTTTCTTCAAAACAAAATAAACCGCGTATAACCCACAGCTGTTGGTTACAATGTCTTGCAAAACTCTTGAATTGTAAACGAATGGTCTGTTTGAATTATTTTTTATAAAAGCCAAAATGGCGGGTTCACGCGGTGGTAATCCAAAACTATCGAAATAAGTAAATTGCGATAGACCATTGAAAAAAAGACCAACCCAGTGGCTGCCTTCATCCTTGGACGAATCTAAATTTATAATGAACGCCGCTTGCTTCGTTCTATCGATACGAGTAGGTAGTTGATCGCACGCTACAACACCAAAGAGATTTGTGCGTTGTACAAATAAATCTGCGGCCAGTATACTTTGTAGTTCTCTTGTGTTCATTTTCGTCTATAGGCCGCTTTAGGCGGTGTAATCTGTCAACACTTGTCTCGTTTTTGAAATTTCTAACACCGAATCTAGTTCAGCATACGCAATAACTTGAATCGGTTCAGTTGTAACTTGTGAAAATTTAAGTTCAATAGAAACAGGTCCAGATTTAGCCAATTCAAATTGTTCACCATCCAAAAGACTGGGGCTTAAATCAAAAGCAAACAAGGTATAGCCGTTCTTAAAGTGTTTATAGTCTATTCCATTCCCAGCATCTTTTCCAACCATACCCAGAGAGAGGTTACTATTGAAAAATGCTCTAATGGCTTGATTCCTATCAAAGTCCATGACCAGTGGTTTTCCCGATAACGATCGTCCATCAACGCTTACATTTAAATACGTCAAGTGAAAATGTTGAAAATTGAAGGGGTTTTTTGTGTAACTACCATTAAAGGCTGTAGAGGCGACTAGTCCGAGGACTAATCGGGTGGGTGTTTGACTCATATACAAATTGTCTTGGTTGTGACTTAACATTCCTTTCGGTATAGCAAAGGTCTTTATAACAACGCGTTTAAAAGGGTATTTTGCATTCATTCTCGTTAAAGCCTTTTCATGCGCGATAGAAATCGCCGGGTTAAGTCTGGCCTTTCTAACTACCAATGTTGCGTGCGTTATCATCGCTTTATACCCCTTGTTTTGGTCTGCTGTCAAGAGAGTGAAACTGTCTTTTGCGGGTGTAAGTTTAATTTTAATGTCAACCCCATTCAGCATATAGCGATCTTGGGTGAAAATGTCAGAGTGGATACGTCCCATCATATCGATCTCATGACTTTCAGCAGCGGTGGTGCGGCGAATCCTATACCCATCATTATTGTCATCTTTGAACTCCTCGAAATAACACGGTGTGTCCATTGCATATAGAGCAGCTGATAGAGACCCATTCTTGGCATCTTCCCCGTAATTTAACGTAGACTCCAGATAGGCGCGATACGGATAGGTGTTCTCACTAGCGGTGATTAGTGTGTCGTTGAGAGAAATATCCACTTGGGAAAATAAACTGTGCAAAAAATAATTGACTGGTGCAACATCAGAGTCCACTGATATGGGATCACCATTCGCTAAGGTCACCTTAGCGCGCACATGTAAATACGTGTTGAACAAATCTAGATAGTCTTCACTGTTGCCAGAAATTGCAAATTCTATAGGTGCACTTTGTGCCAAGGATGCGAGGGGGTGTATTTCAACAAATTGACCCTCCTCGACGGCAGTTTGTGTCGGGGGTATACTAAATAAATCCAATCCAGAATGTAAGCACTCACATGAACTTGGATGAATAAGAGCCATGGTTAAGCAAATATATCTGAATACTTGGGATGTTTCTTCTTTCGCTTAGCACACGCCTTCGAATGATTGTGACTTGATCTGTGTGCTAGTTTTATTCGTTTTTCAAAGGGTTCACCTGGTGGTCTCGACAGCGCACGCTTTCTTCTCAATCCGCTTCCTGATTGGTTTTGTCCCAGGTGATCAACGGCGCCTTGTAATAAACGATGACCAGCTTCTTTGGCGTGTTCTTTGAACGATTCTCCAATGTTTCTTCCCGCTAATGCATCGTTTGCAACATGCAACCCGGTACTAACACCTTCTCTGAGTAAAGCCTTACCTCCCGTCTTTAACCAAGGGAGGACCATTCGACCTAGACCACTAAAGAAACTACCAATACCGTGTCCTCTTTGATTTCTTCCACCGATAAAAATTGGTAAACCATGACCGTACTGGTTACAGTAAAAATCTTCGTACAATTTAGGGTTTCGATGTAAAAGGGTATGTTTCACCATGGTGTGAGTTATTCCAGATCGAAATGTTTACGTGTTCTAAAATGGAGTGTCAACACTGACGTTCCACTTGTGAATGAGAGAGATTGTCCCAACTCATCGCATAAAAGTATTTCCACTGTGTCGAATGAAAAGCGGTTCAGGGGGATGTAGTGGGGTTTGTCGTAAATACGAAAAACGGAACTTGGTTTCTTCTCAACGATCGGTACGGTCCGAAGCAAAGGGACCATTACATCTCCAACCGGTCTCGCTTCTACGAGGTCACAATAGACGAATACAATTTTTACTTCGTCTTCCTCGATATGTTTCTCTGTAACTTTACCCGGAACAATCATATAGGCGTTCAACCAGTCACGGACAGTACTTTCTATTCCCGATGCAACTACTTTGACGACAATTTTCTTAAATCCCTTATTACAGTCTGAAATTATAATTTCCACTTTTCGTTCATCTACATCTCTTTTTAATAGTTTTTTTATAGCGTTGACAAGCAGGTCGATGTTTTGGTATTTGGTCTGGCGTAAGCCAAATAGAAAAAGGTTAACGTCTGCACCTTCTTTGATGGAATGATACTGGAGCCAAACTTCATGTTCTCTAATCATACAAAATGCATTCGGCATTTGAATCTCGACCAGACCAACCTCATAGTGCGAATTCACATCGATAGTCTGTGGTAATTTAACGAAGAAATGCCCAGCCTCATTGTCTGGAAATACATTTGGTGATGCATTGCTAGGCAGGGTGACATAAAAACTCATTGTAAAATTTTGGTTCTTGCAATGGTTGGGTTAGGTAAAATATAACCGAGACAGCTGGATAACAACACGACCCAAAGTTTTCCCTCTTTGTCGTCGAGTGTTCCACGCGTCAAATTAAATAGTGAAAAAGCGATGACGACAAATATAACCAACATTTGAGACATGAAAACAATTTCCGGTCGTGTCCTTAGTCTACCGATCCAGCTCGAAATGGTCGAACCGATAGAAGACGTGGTGGATTTGGGTCTCACCTCACTCCCACCGAACGGTCTGAGCGTTTCTTCCAACACGGTCTCATCCATGCTTAGGCTTTTCACTGTTTCAACCATCGTTAGTCTTTATATTTCGAAATGTCTCTAGCTGAAATCCAACTGTTGAATGAACCAAAATTTTACAATGAGTTTTTATGTCACCCTGCCTAGCAATGCATCACCAAATGTATTTCCAGACAATGAGGCTGGGCATTTCTTCGTTAAATTACCACAGACTATCGATGTGAATTCGCACTATGAGGTTGGTCTGGTCGAGATTCAAATGCCGAATGCATTTTGTATGATTAGAGAACATGAAGTTTGGCTCCAGTATCATTCCATCAAAGAAGGTGCAGACGTTAACCTTTTTCTATTTGGCTTACGCCAGACCAAATACCAAAACATCGACCTGCTTGTCAACGCTATAAAAAAACTATTAAAAAGAGATGTAGATGAACGAAAAGTGGAAATTATAATTTCAGACTGTAATAAGGGATTTAAGAAAATTGTCGTCAAAGTAGTTGCATCGGGAATAGAAAGTACTGTCCGTGACTGGTTGAACGCCTATATGATTGTTCCGGGTAAAGTTACAGAGAAACATATCGAGGAAGACGAAGTAAAAATTGTATTCGTCTATTGTGACCTCGTAGAAGCGAGACCGGTTGGAGATGTAATGGTCCCTTTGCTTCGGACCGTACCGATCGTTGAGAAGAAACCAAGTTCCGTTTTTCGTATTTACGACAAACCCCACTACATCCCCCTGAACCGCTTTTCATTCGACACAGTGGAAATACTTTTATGCGATGAGTTGGGACAATCTCTCTCATTCACAAGTGGAACGTCAGTGTTGACACTCCATTTTAGAACACGTAAACATTTCGATCTGGAATAACTCACACCATGGTGAAACATACCCTTTTACATCGAAACCCTAAATTGTACGAAGATTTTTACTGTAACCAGTACGGTCATGGTTTACCAATTTTTATCGGTGGAAGAAATCAAAGAGGACACGGTATTGGTAGTTTCTTTAGTGGTCTAGGTCGAATGGTCCTCCCTTGGTTAAAGACGGGAGGTAAGGCTTTACTCAGAGAAGGTGTTAGTACCGGGTTGCATGTTGCAAACGATGCATTAGCGGGAAGAAACATTGGAGAATCGTTCAAAGAACACGCCAAAGAAGCTGGTCATCGTTTATTACAAGGCGCCGTTGATCACCTGGGACAAAACCAATCAGGAAGCGGATTGAGAAGAAAGCGTGCGCTGTCGAGACCACCAGGTGAACCCTTTGAAAAACGAATAAAACTAGCACACAGATCAAGTCACAATCATTCGAAGGCGTGTGCTAAGCGAAAGAAGAAACATCCCAAGTATTCAGATATATTTGCTTAACCATGGCTCTTATTCATCCAAGTTCATGTGAGTGCTTACATTCTGGATTGGATTTATTTAGTATACCCCCGACACAAACTGCCGTCGAGGAGGGTCAATTTGTTGAAATACACCCCCTCGCATCCTTGGCACAAAGTGCACCTATAGAATTTGCAATTTCTGGCAACAGTGAAGACTATCTAGATTTGTTCAACACGTATTTACATGTGCGCGCTAAGGTGACCTTAGCGAATGGTGATCCCATATCAGTGGACTCTGATGTTGCACCAGTCAATTATTTTTTGCACAGTTTATTTTCCCAAGTGGATATTTCTCTCAACGACACACTAATCACCGCTAGTGAGAACACCTATCCGTATCGCGCCTATCTGGAGTCTACGTTAAATTACGGGGAAGATGCCAAGAATGGGTCTCTATCAGCTGCTCTATATGCAATGGACACACCGTGTTATTTCGAGGAGTTCAAAGATGACAATAATGATGGGTATAGGATTCGCCGCACCACCGCTGCTGAAAGTCATGAGATCGATATGATGGGACGTATCCACTCTGACATTTTCACCCAAGATCGCTATATGCTGAATGGGGTTGACATTAAAATTAAACTTACACCCGCAAAAGACAGTTTCACTCTCTTGACAGCAGACCAAAACAAGGGGTATAAAGCGATGATAACGCACGCAACATTGGTAGTTAGAAAGGCCAGACTTAACCCGGCGATTTCTATCGCGCATGAAAAGGCTTTAACGAGAATGAATGCAAAATACCCTTTTAAACGCGTTGTTATAAAGACCTTTGCTATACCGAAAGGAATGTTAAGTCACAACCAAGACAATTTGTATATGAGTCAAACACCCACCCGATTAGTCCTCGGACTAGTCGCCTCTACAGCCTTTAATGGTAGTTACACAAAAAACCCCTTCAATTTTCAACATTTTCACTTGACGTATTTAAATGTAAGCGTTGATGGACGATCGTTATCGGGAAAACCACTGGTCATGGACTTTGATAGGAATCAAGCCATTAGAGCATTTTTCAATAGTAACCTCTCTCTGGGTATGGTTGGAAAAGATGCTGGGAATGGAATAGACTATAAACACTTTAAGAACGGCTATACCTTGTTTGCTTTTGATTTAAGCCCCAGTCTTTTGGATGGTGAACAATTTGAATTGGCTAAATCTGGACCTGTTTCTATTGAACTTAAATTTTCACAAGTTACAACTGAACCGATTCAAGTTATTGCGTATGCTGAACTAGATTCGGTGTTAGAAATTTCAAAAACGAGACAAGTGTTGACAGATTACACCGCCTAAAGCGGCCTATAGACGAAAATGAACACAAGAGAACTACAAAGTATACTGGCCGCAGATTTATTTGTACAACGCACAAATCTCTTTGGTGTTGTAGCGTGCGATCAACTACCTACTCGTATCGATAGAACGAAGCAAGCGGCGTTCATTATAAATTTAGATTCGTCCAAGGATGAAGGCAGCCACTGGGTTGGTCTTTTTTTCAATGGTCTATCGCAATTTACTTATTTCGATAGTTTTGGATTACCACCGCGTGAACCCGCCATTTTGGCTTTTATAAAAAATAATTCAAACAGACCATTCGTTTACAATTCAAGAGTTTTGCAAGACATTGTAACCAACAGCTGTGGGTTATACGCGGTTTATTTTGTTTTGAAGAAAGTTCGGGGAGCTAGCCTAAAACTTATTCTCCACCCTTTTTCAGCTTCACCGGCTCGACAATATATTAACGATCGACTTATATCACGTTTAACCCTTGCACTTATTGGGACTAATTATAAACGTTTATTTCCGCGCTTTCAAGATGTCTAGTGAAGATTGGATACTTGTCGCCAGAAGTAGTAATAAAGTGACGGAAATACGAACGACGAATGACAGTGGTTATAAAGTAGCTATCGTTAGTCAATTCATGAACAAAAACACTTTAAATCTTAGAGATCTTATGGATGGTACAGATCTTAAATTTCCTAATAATTCTGGAATAAATCTCTCTCGTATAGCTTTTGAACGTTTACTCGCCCTGAGATATGATATTTTAAAAGCGTTTGATGACTTGGAGAAAGTTGAAATAAATTCATAAAATATAAGAAGTCTTTTGTTGTGATTTGATTTTAGTTTCATTTGTGTGTGTGTGTGTGTGTGTGTGTGTGTGTGTGTGTGAATGTGTATGTGTAAATAAATGCAAACCATAAACACAACAAGCAAGTAGAAACCACCAGTGGGGTCAATAATCGGCCCGGGTGTTGGCACGTGCTGTATCTCTTTATATTAAGACGAGTAGAATTCGACATCCACCAGTCCTATTCAACAAAGATTTTATACGGTCAACATGTTTAAACATGACTTTTAAAAAATCGATAGTAAAGGCGCGTGAGTTGGATTAGACAATGGGGTAGGGCACCTGCCTTTGAGTATGACGCGAGTAGCGGCACACAAAAGGACATGCTCACACAGACGTCAGACAAAGGGAGAATGAGATTGCAACACACAAAGGGAAGGGGTACCACCTGCTACCACCTCCCCCCACCCGCGTCACCCCCACCCACACCCCCATTGGAGGTGGGGAAATACTATTTTACTATATACTGTTAAAGCTGGACTGTCGTCCAGGTCAATACAAACAACCAACATCTTATCAACAAGTGGACAATTGGTCAATTGGTCAACTGGTCAACAACTGGTCAGTTGGTCAACTGGTAAACAAATGTATAACTTTATTTTAACCGTTAATAAAAGAACTGGTCAATTGGTCAACTACTAGGTACCCTAACCCTCAATACAAACAAATCAATAGGGGAATCCACCTCCACCTCCACCTCTGCCCAACACGTGGTCAGTTGGTCAAGTGGTCAACATACCGATCAATACAATACCCTACTAATCAAAACAATCAACAGTTGGTTAATGAACAATCAACAACGGGTTAAAAATAATCAACAGGTGGGCAAAAAACAGGGACAAAAATCAACAGGTGGTCGAAAATCAATCAATAACGGTCAAAATATGCAACAGATGGGCAAAAATCAATCAATAACGGTCAAAAAATGCAACAGTTGTCCCACCTCCACCTCCACCTCCACCTTTTATGCAACAGTTGTCCCACCTCCACCACCTCCACCTCAATAATACCCAAAGGGGACCTACTATACTACTTACATCATACCCGAGGGGAAGAACATCTCAGTGTATTATTACCCTCGTGAGAATGACGTTGTCGTTGGATAGGTTTTAGCTTGTGAATAGAGATGTGGACATATAATGAAACTATTATTGTTTAATACATTTCTTCTATTATATTAATTCAACTTGATTAAAAATATTTTTTTAATCTATATTTTTATTGTTTTACTGACTTATTAAACCTGCTTATAATTTACTACATTTCGTAATTTAATTTATTTCCATTAAAGTAATTTCGTAACTTAAATTAATTAAAAAATAAAGTAACGATTTCTCTTTAGACCTAGCGATCCTTTAGACCAGGGGTCTCCAAACTACGGCCCGCGGGCCGAATGCGGCCCGCGAGGTCCTCTCATCCGGCCCGCGGAGATCTTTTTGTACACGGAAAAAACGTTTGTTGGTGATGGCTGAGGAACTTTGATCAAAAAAATCAAAGACATGCCTGGAAGGAACTGGCCCCCGAACTGAAATTTGACAGTTAATGCGGCCCTCGGACTGAAAAGTTTGGAGACCCCTGCTTTAGACAGATGAAGTAGAGTTAATGTTTCTTAACATAAGCATGTAAAGTTATAGTGTATAAGTCAGTACTTAGCCCAGCCACTTTTACTTTCCCTAACATAAGTTAGGTACCCATTCGAGATGGTTGGACGTAGGGGTATTCTACAGACTTGAACCCGGGTTCGAACTCGAGCTTTTCATGTAAGCAGTCAAGCACTCTATCACTAAGCCAATCCGTGCTACAGCAAAAAATAATATCATATATTTGTTTCTAACTCTACGTCTAACGGTGTGGTTGGATGGTAGAGCACACGACTGCTACTGCGACAGTCTCCAGTTTAAATCGCGGTTCCGTGTCAATAGAACGTTGTGTACTTTACTCGGTTTCACGCTTTCAATAAAAATAGAATATATTGATGGCTTTAGTTTGAATGTGCCCAGGGGCGTAGCGGGGGGGGGGGGCATATGTCCCCGGGTGTCGACCTTAGGGGGCGCCAAAATAGGTTGGAAAAACAAATTGAAAGTTCGAGGGGGGGGTGCAAATCAAAAGTTCGAAGGGGGTGCAAATCGAAAATTTGTGGTAGGGGGGAATTAAATCGAAAGTTTGTCCCCGGGCGCCAGGAAGGGTCGCTACGCCTCTGAATGTGCCCGTACTTTCAAGAAATATTGTTTGATTTTTGTTGTTTTTTGCTAAGGAAGGAGGGGGGTCTGGGATAATTCGATTTCGTGCTGTTGGTTCTTTTGGTGCGTTTGAGGCAACATCATCGAACTATACCGTATATACCACGTGACATGTGTACCATGGATTCTGGGAAATCCCACCGTGTAACGGAATGCACGGCATTCGAGTGCCAATGTTTGGCATGAGGGCACCCGTGTATTTTAAAATGACATGCCTTCCATGGATGGGTCTCTCCATTGGATAAAATTCGATTAAAATGAATGCGGGTAGGTAAGTGTGGTCGGGTCTTTAGCTGGGGACAGCAACTCTTATAGGGAAGACAACTCTAAAAAGAAAAGCAGGCAAAGATGGAATACTTAGTTGTGTCGTAGGATTTCCCCACCAACACTATAATTAAGAACGTAGAAGAAAAAGAAAATGAGGACAGTAATATGTCTTTATATCTATATACCGGTACTATGTTAGGTTTAAACTTAGGGTTGGGATCAGGGATTTTTGCTGCAGGTACTATGTTAGGGTTAGAATTAGGATTGGGATAATGGATTATTGCTACCGCTACAACGAGTAAAGTTCCCTTTCAGTGTTTCTTCCAGACTTTTTTTTCTCCGGGGGGGGGGGGGGGGGGGGGGGGCACTTGATATTTTCGGGGGGATGGGGGGGGGCGGACACTAGTAAAATTATATTTTTACTATATAAATTCCATCTCGTTCGGGGCGGTAAACTTTCTTCGGAGGGCAGAGCGCCCCGCCCCTCCTTCCCCCCCCCCCCCCCCCCCCCCCCCGAAGAGATGCCTGGAAAAAACTCTGGTTCCCTTTCAAACCTGGCGATCCATGCGAAAGGACAACAACGTTAAAACTGAATGACGCTTAAGCATGAGTAGGCATTTTTTTCCCCACAAAGTCAGTTTTGTTTCAAACGATTATCAAACCTGTGAATGAGCATTAAAAATGTCTGGTATACTTGAAATGCTGAAAAATGAAAACCCCAGGTAAAAATGTTTACACTCAACGTGTCCTCAAATTTCACCTTGCAATCGGAAATGGGTCGAAAAAAGTTGTCCATTTTACAGTTGACGCCTATGTAATATGTCAACACGAGTCTAACCTATATATGTACTCAGCTCAGAGGCGTAGCGAGGGGGGGGGGGCGGACCGCACCGGGTGACACCATTTAGGGGGTGACACAAAGGCAAAAAATAGCAAAAATATAGAGAAAAATGATAATTCTACTTAATTAAGTGATTAATTCGAGTGTTAAATAGTCTTTTAAGAGGTGCAAATGGAAAATTTGACGGAGGGGGGGGGCCGCATATCAAAAGTTTGAAGGTGGGGGGGTGCAAATCGAAATTTTGAAGAGGGGGTTGCAAATCGAAAATTGAAAGTTTGTCCCCGGGAAGGGTCGCTACGCCTCTGGGGGGGGGGGGGGGGGGTGTGACACCATTAAGTGCCGCACCGGGTTACACCCGACCTCGCTACGCCACTGACTCAGCTCTGTTTGCATTGTTTATAAACCTAATGTTTCATTAACAAATTAACTCGCCGTCTCTCAGTCCACCTGTACCAGATAAACAAAAAATCTAAATCGTATGTCATTTCTAATTAAATCTATTTTTATATAGCTTATGAGGGTACATAGCTAAAAATAGAACCAACGCGGTCTGGGGAAATTCCCGATGGAACGGTGAAAGAGAATTTAAACAATGCGAGGTGCGCAGCGGGAATTCCCACGGCCATACCCTAAGTTGTAAGTCAAATATGACTTGACCTGAGTTGATGTTGGCTGTGACATTAGCCGTAGCTGCAGGTAACATGTGTACACTAGTGACCAAATATTGGACTTTGGCCAGGCAGGGAGCGATGACGTCATAGAGGATGGGATAAATAAATGTCGTTACTTTTGGTGCTCATTTAGTTAGACAATGGGGAAAAATGAAAAATGTATAACGTAAATATGCATAGTTATACATAGTCAGGGGTGTGCCAGAAAAACTGGGATCCAGGGGATTTTATAGGGGGGGGGAGGAGAAATCGCAGTTAAATTTGGACTTAGGTGTGGGGAATGTCTTCAAAGATTATATGGTATTTTTTTCCACAGATGTTTCACCTCTACACTTATACCCCCCCCCCCCCCCACACACACACACACGCACACAAATATAATTGCGCGCAGTTGCTTAATACTGAATTATCCACTCCGTTGTCATGTGTAATTTAGGTAGTGTATGTCGTGTCATTAGCAGGTTATACTTAATGCGGCAAATATTGCAGCGGTCAGCTATGCTTCCATTGTTTCAACTGGGCATGGGTCAGCTAATCTAATGGTGGATCAGCTTGAATACTTAGCAGTGTTTCATGTGGTTTAGTCTGAGGTGACCATATACGTAATTAGCGGAAGATCTAGAAATAAACGATGTTGGTGAATATCGGTTACTTTTGATATACTGAATTAAAACCTTACCGTTTTACTTTAAGAGTTAAACCGTTGTGTTACTGTATTATACGACAGTCTATGATCTTAGCTTTAGGTAGCAATGTTAAATTTGGGTAGATTTCATCCATTAGTTAGATTTGGACAGCTTGCAGTTATTTGTTAACTATAGTTCGACCTGAAAACAAAGGTTAACTTTGGGTAACTTTAATTCATTGTTTTTTTAAAGGGGAGGCACTCAAAAATAACTGGAAATTTAAAATAAAGACTTGCCGGTTGTTGTACAGCGTGTAATATGCTACGTAGCAGTACGACAACATTGTGCCATATATGATATTTGATAGCCTACACACATTTGTCAACATCGGGTAGCCTGTATAATATACTACATTTCGTGAGCTTTTACATAAATATTACATTTTTGTACCCTTCATACATTCGTTAACGTCGGGTATACATGTTTTAACTTTGTGGAGCTTTTACATATAATATCACATTTAATATATTTGTTAACATCGGGTACCCTGTATACATGTTAGCTTTGGTGAGTTTTCCCATATTGGTTAGCATCGGATTGCATGCATACCTATTGCCCCTGGGTAGCATGCAGTACACCAGCTAAGCTTGTATAAACCGACTGCACCGACTAGACATTTTGGCAGTAAATTTACAGAACTGCACCAAGGGTAACCTTCAGCGAACCTTGTTGATTTTACAAAAATATTTGATTAGGTCCACCCTTTGTTTTCTTTATACATTTTTCCCCACTACGTCATGTTGTATGATTTTGGTAGTTTCATTAAAGCGGGCTTGAACTAGGGGATGATATTTGGGGGTATATAAAACGCGAGTATACATTTTAGCGGCGTTAGGTTTTTCTGTGCATGTAGAGGAATGTAACGGGACTGTTCTGAAGTTTAACTACAGTTTAAATTCATTCAGGTAAGTTGTTCCATTTGTATATCATATTTAAACAATAGATAACCTTTGGGATTATAAATTATAAAAATATATTTTTAAAATAATAGCATGATTTACAAACTAGTCTTAAACACATCACAGTTCTGCGCTTGTTTCTACGTGTGTTTTCAGTGACAGACTATATTTCTTGTGTCATCATTTTTGTAAGTGTCCAGTTTTTGTTTTAAACTTGTTCATTTTTCTTTAGCTCTGTGTATTCCACGTCAAGATCTGTGTTGTTTTTCTGATCTTTGGCTTCCTAAGTGTTGTATCAATATATCATTAATTTTCTATTTAGAGTAAATCTTAATGACAGGTAATAAAATAAGGGATTTTGCGCATTTTAGATGATTTCAAAATGTGTTTTTTTTTTCCCCAGCCATAAACCAAATAAACTATTACTTCGTTACACCACACCTCATAGTATATTGTATCTCCTGGAATATTACATGTCTACCTGTCATGTTGGCTTTCGACCCATCGCCTTTGTCCAGCTATACAGCCTCATCTGCCCGGGGGTTCGAACTCGGGAATTTTCGCTTGAGGAAGATGATATTGATAATATCCCTACTAAAATACCAAGGCTACTTGGAAGTTTAAGGAAGAAAACGTTTACACAACTTTATTTAAGTCACGTCGTTTTTAAATGTTTGCCAGATTTTTCTTAGACTATAGTCCTTTAATAAATAATTATTACAACAATGTCGATTCCATTGATAAAAAATAAGTATATTAATATAAACAGTAGACATAGTAACATATTAGTTTATATTTCCTTTACTTATGTAAAAGTAAAGTTCTCTTTTCGTACCTGAAGGTATAGTGCAGTGAAGTAGAGTTCACTTGTTTCTGTGACCCCGTCATATGAAGAAATAGTGTGGTCAGCACTATGCCCAGCCGCCTTTACTTTCCCTAACATGAGTTAGTTACCCATCAGAGTTAGGTGGACTCAGGGACGGTTTACTGACTTGAACCAGGATTCGATCTCGAGGCTTACGGGTTAGCAGTCCAGCTCTCTACGCTAGACCACTCCGTCCCTTTATCTTATGATATCCATATAAAAAGTTTAGCTGTAATTCAACGAATCGCTATTCTCGCAATTAATGTTCAGCTATACCCTGACTATACCCAGCCCCACCCCACCCTTCCCCATTCCTATCTGGTGCTCAATTCATTCCGGCAGATAAATGTGGTTTGGCTGACGTGATCAGTAATATACCCAGCCGCCATTGCTTTCAACAACGTAGGCCAGGTACTCATCAAAGCTCGGTCAACTCAGAGGCGACATACAGTTGAACTGAAATCTGAACTCGAGACCTTCGGGCTAGCAGCCGTACCAGTTACTATTCGACCACGCAGTTCCACATAATGGGTATATGAATTTTGAAAAAAAAAGTGTTCTAATACCATTTGATTGCATTCTTTTTGTTGAGCAGGTGGAGATGATGCAGCTACAAGTACTCGCGTTGGTTTACCTGGCATGCGTGTTGCCTGGATGCTTCCTCCAGAGGTTGGGGGACGGCCAGAATAGTGAGGACAAATTTCGTCTTTCGGGCACAGAAGCTGGCGAAATAGTTCCAGGGAATCTGGAGAATTATGACGTCGAGGATTATAATAGCAGTGACGTCATTAGCCCTAGTAACAATGATGCCATAAGTGCCGGTCAATTTATAGATGGCGTGAATGGTAACCAAGGAATCGGCCAGGAAAATGATAATGATGTGAAGGTATTTGGCAGCAGTGATATCAACATCTATGGAAGTCGTGACGTCAGACGGCCGGGTAATTCGGAAGATCGCGTGACTGGTTTTCTACTTCCTAACCACGAAAACAATAAAGACGTGAATAACTTTAGAAGCAATGACGTCAATAACCATATGGGTCGTGATGACATTAGTCCAGGTCATTCTGAATCCCGTGTAACTGGTCCTCTGGTATCGGGTCGTAAAAATAACAACAACGCCAATGTCTACAGCAGCAATGACGTCATCGCTTCCAACAGTCATAACGCGATTCGACCAGTCAAGTCTGAAACACATACGAGTAGTCATTTAGCACATGGCAGCAAAGATAAAAATAGCCTCGATCTCTCCGAAAGTAGTGAGGTCATGAACCCTAATCCACCTGAAGTCTTTATGACCGGGAACATCATAATCATCGGCTGTAACGAAACGGAAGTCATAGAGATCCCTCAGGACCTAAAGGACTATGTTAAGGACATGGAGGACAGACTTAACGGCAAGAATAAAACAGACCTCAATCAGAAACCGAAAACTAATTTCTTGGATATCATCAGAAACAAAAGCGACGAGTACTTGATGAACAAATCTCATAGAACTGACGAGAACGCGTCTGTAAACTCAAGCCATACCGGTCGTGATGGGAATGTGAATACTGGGTTTAATATACAACATACCAATTCTGGAGATAACAATCGTACGGTAGATGGGGTTTTCGGATCAGAATTTTTTAATGGAACAGATAGATCTGCATTTAACCCTAACTTAAGCTTCTCTCCCGACGACAACACCACCGGTTATGATAATGAAATTATGTCTGAAATTCACACCGAGCTAGTCAATACTGCTCTAACAGAACTAACTAACTCATCAGTTTTGGATTACTTGATGGTTATACTGAATGAAAACCTGAACAGTTCTAAAGAACTCCAGTATTTTTTAAGCAAGAAAGTGTCAAAAGTTTCAACCGGTTCAGATTCACAAAATGATTTCAACTTCACAAAGCAAGAAATGACTGAACTGATGAATGAAATATTGAAGGAACAACCTAATTACGTAATTAATGATCTAATTAACAACGTCTTAAATCCAAGTGTTAATGAATCAATAAACATTCAAAATTTCCTTCTCAACGCTACATATAACATACTAAACCAAACTGATCGTTTTCTTGACATTAACGACACATCATTCTTTTTAGCGAACGGATCAAATGTAATCAATTATGAAGAATTTCGGCTCAGCTTTATAAATAATACTTTTGAAAATAGTTCTAGCAATAATAATGAAGAAATGAGAAAGCACTTTGAGGTATTCTTCGAACAATTATTTCAACAAGCTAGCAATAATTCAATGGGCGAGGACTTTAGTGAACTTGTAAAACACAACATGAACTACTCTCAGATGGTTGACGAAATGGTTTACAAAGAACTAATGATGTTCATGAACATGTCTATAAATAGTAACATGACAACACAGGAAGTGGAAGAGTTAAGTTCATTGATTCACGAGGTAACTGGTTTCTTTGTCGAGAAACATCTTCAAAATGTCCTTAAGACAAAATCTAATAACTCGATGGTATACGAACCATTGGTGAACGGCACTTCATGGGAAAACATGTCGACGTTAGAAATGGAAATAAATGAACTAATTAGTAAAGTACACTCAGAATTCCCAAACACATCAGTGGAAGAATTATTTAGCGAATTGTTGAAAAGCAATGAAAGTCATTTCGAGGAAATTAAAGATGCGTTATGGAAGGAGCTTTCCTATTTAACCAACGGATCATTTGAACATAATGCAACAAAAATGAGTCTGCAACAACTAATGGAGACTGTAATGCAGGAGATAGAGAATGTAACTGTTAATGATATGTTGTATAATATTCTGAAACATCATACTAATACTTCCTTCGTAACTGGAAATATCCTAGAAGGCATGGGTAAATCAAATTGGGATACTGACAAACGAAATACGACAAAAGAAACTCACGATTCGCATTTTACCAACAATACGAACTCTCATGAAATAGATGTAACTTCAGAAACAAAATGGCCGACTGCGAACATTACTAATGAGTCGACCCCTACAACTCAACCAAATATCAAGGACCTGATCGACCAAGTTCTACAACTCTCAGCTAACTCTTCAGAAACTGACTTGATTAATCAACTTTTAAGCCTCAACCAAACCTACTCTCAAGAAATAAAACACATTTTATTCCAAGAAATGTCAACCCTTTTTAACACAACATTTTTCAACAATACCGGCAGTACCAATATGTCCATCACCGAACAAGACTGGAATCAGTTGATAGGAACGATTCTCCAAGAACAAACCGATACTAGAAGCTTCGAATACAACATAACAATCGACTCCAACGACAAGGCTACCGATTTCTTGTCGCTTTTGAATAACGATACTTTGAAACAGCTGAACAATCCATTAAACGCAGAGATAGACAATTATATAAATGAAATGCTAACAAACTATACCTCTACTCAACAATTTTTAATGGAGATTTTAAGAAACAACACGAGCAACACAATGATTTCAGATATTGTAGCCAACAGTTTACAGAAACTAGTGAACTCGACCGGTTCGTTTGATCAAAATAACATGACGAACCAGGAATTGAAGTTTTTGTTAAAGTCGGTTTTCATGGAACAACCAGAAATTGTTGTCAAGGATATGGTTTTAACCGGTAACAAACACGACAACCAATTTGAACATAGTACAAGAATGCCCTCACATAGTCAAACAGAAGAAACTGGAATATCTGACCATAGTGAGAAAACGTCATCATATAATCACCATCCAACCACATCATCATCTGACCACAGTAGTCATACCACAACAAATGAACATAGAGAGAATAGTTCATCCTATGGGCACGGTGTTACAACTGCCTCATATGAAAACAATAGTAACAAAAACACACAAAAACATAGAGAAAGCACTTCGACATATCACCAGAGTACTGGAAAACCAACAAACGACCAAAGTACTAGCATGGTAGGGGAGGACCACACTTCCAATCCAAATCTAAGTGACCATACGCAAAGAAATGACTATATTGGCAGTACCCAAAGAAATGACCAAACAGGCAGTACCCAAAGAAATGACTATATTGGCAGTACCCAAAGAAATGACCAAACAGGCAGTACCCAAAGAAATGACTATATTGGCAGTACCCAAATAAATGACCAAACAGACAGTACCCAAAGCAATAACCAAGCAGGCAGTACCCAAAGAAATTACTACATTGTCAGTACACAAAGAACTGACTATATTGGCAGCACTCAAAGGAATGACCAAAAAGACAGTACCCAAAGAAACGACTATATTGGCAGTACCCAAAGAAATGACCAAACAGGCAGTACCCAAAGAAATGACTACATTGGCAGTACCCAAAGAAATGACTACATTGGCAGTACCCAAAGAAATGACTATATTGGCAGTACCCAAAGAAATGACTATATTGGCAGCACTCAAAGGAATGACCAAACAGGCAGTACCCAAAGAAATGACTACATTGGTAGTACCCAAAGAAATGACTACATTGGTAGTACCCAAAGAAATGACTACATTGGTAGTACCCAAAGAAATGACCAAACAGGCAGTACCCAAAGAAATGAATACATTGGAAGTACTCAAAGAAATGACTACATTGGCAGTACCCAAAGAAATGACCAAACTGGCAGTACCCAAAGAAATGACCAAGCTGGCAGTACCCAAAGAAATTACTACATTGTCAGTACACAAAGAACTGACTATATTGGCAGCACTCAAAGGAATGACCAAAAAGACAGTACCCAAAGAAACGACTATATTGGCAGTACCCAAAGAAATGACCAAACAGGCAGTACCCAAAGAAATGACTACATTGGCAGTACCCAAAGAAATGACTACATTGGCAGTACCCAAAGAAATGACTATATTGGCAGCACTCAAAGGAATGACCAAACAGGCAGTACCCAAAGAAATGACTACATTGGTAGTACCCAAAGAAATGACCAAACTGGCAGTACCCAAAGAAATGACCAAACTGGCAGTACCCAAAGAAATGACTACATTGGCAGTACCCAAAGAAATGACCAAACTGGCAGTACCCAAAGAAATGACCAAGCTGGCAGTACCCAAAGAAATGACCAAACTGGAAGTACCCAAAGAAATGACCAAACTGGCAGTACCCAAAGAAATGACCAAACTGGCAGTACCCAAAGAAATGACCAAACTGGCAGTACCCAAAGAAATGACCAAACTGGCAGTACCCAAAGAAATGACCAAACTGGCAGTACCCAAAGAAATGACCAAACTGGCAGTACTCAAAGAAATGACTTCAGTAGCACTACACAAAGAACCGCCCATGCCGACAATACCCACACAGATTCCCCCACTGGGCGTACTCAGAACCTTGACCACTCTGATAGTACGCCAAGAACTGTCTTCAGTGCCGGAACTCCAGCATACGACAAAACCGACCATACTTCTTTTGACCACACTGACCCTACCATATACGATCGTTACAGCAGTACAAGGACAGCTGACGACAAACTTAGCACCCCAAGATATGACGGGGGTGTTGGAATCACAAGCAATGACAAAAATCCTAGCACCCCAACTTATGACTACAATTCTAGCGGTCGCCCGTATGACAGCAGTACTGGCAACCTACCTTATGACTACACTCCTAGAAACCTACCAAATGACCATAGTAGTAGCAACCTACCAAGTGACCACAGTACTGGCAACCTACCAAATGACCACAACACGACTCCATCTTATGACAACACCGATGACGCCAAGAATTCCAGCCTCACCTCAGAAAACACTAACTCCTCTTCCAGTCTATCTGTTGACGTTTTAAATATTTTGAATAATATTTCCAGCAATTTAGGTCTCAACATGTCTATTTCAAACCAAGATTGGCGTAACGACACACAATACGTCGTTAAAGAATTCGTGAAATCAATATTTGAAGGGCAGTCGAATATTACAATAGACAGGTCTTTAAACGGAGCCGCGGGTTTTGATTTTTTCGAATCTGCAAACACGTCTGTTTCTAAAAATAACTCCGAAATTAATAATTTCATTTTGGCTCTTTTAGGATCTAAGGTTAACGACTCGTCTATGCTTGAAGTGTTTAACAATACGGATATAGATGTGCGAGAATATATCGGGTTAGCTCAAGACTTTTTAGGTAATACTAAATTAAACTCTTCTGATTTAGATTTCATTTCAGTTGTATCTAAAGAGATTTATACTCTGCTTCAGACAGATATTATAGAAATCAGTAACGTGAAAGATGAAGTTAAACCAGAGAACGAAATGGAGGTTCTGCTTGATTCGATTAGTACTATGTACGGGGGTAACAAAGACGCGGTGGGGATTTTGAATCGATGCAGGGAAATAATAACAGTCGTAGCCGCGGCTTTTGGGGAGGAATCTAGCCAAGAAGTTCAAGTTCTTCAAGACGTTATAGAAATTATGACATGCACTCTAGCTGGTAACGCTGAAGCAGCAATAAGAAAACATAGATACTTCATGGAAAACGGTTACCAAAATATGGCTGAAGTTCTCACCTCAGTTTTCCATTCAAAACAGTCCGCAAGTCGAATGTTCGAGACGATGATGGATATGGCGAATAAATTAACAACGATGATTGGTGGGTATAACAGTGTTTACAGTACAATCGAAAAGAAATTTGATGAGATGTTTGAGAAACATGGGAGACGAATGAGGTACCCATCGTTAGGTTCAGAGGAAAGAGACGAATCCGGAGATGAGTTCAAGACTCAACGAAAACCGAAGCACGGGCATCATGTTGATGATAAGAATAACGTTGACCGTAATGATTCAATGTATGCTCGTCTTTTTGGTAAACAAATAACAAAACACGAAAAATCTAACCATACATCACATGCTGAAGTTAGCAATAAAACCGAAAACCACGCGCAAAAGATTACAAATATGAAGCATGTTCCGCGTAGCTTAGCAAATCAGATTGAAAAAATATTTTTAAACTCTCAGTGGGCTGAAGACATTGGAATCAGGAGTTCTATTATCCGTATCTTGATTTTAGCAGACGAATTTCTGTCTTTGTTGACTAGACACGACATGTACTCAATACTTCACGGTACTCGCGTACATCTAGACAGAGTACACTGTGTTGTATCGGCCACACAATGTTATCTAGTCCAGCGGGATTTGACAAAACTCGGACACAAAACGAAAACTTTGTGGAGAAAAGTTGAAGAAAGCTCATCTTCTACTCAGTTCTCGCACCTTATGGAAATCCTGAAACTGACCAAAGAACTCTACACAGACGTCTCATTCACGTATGAAAAATGGAGCGACAGAATGAATGAATAGTACACAACCAAAACCAAAGCCAAATTTAAATGTGAACAAACATTACATTTGTGTATAATATAATTTTAATTGTTAAAAACTGCTTGTGATAATTTTATAGTAATGATGATAAGAATATATTGTTTACTTTGCAATTATTTTAAAACATGAATGTGTAAAATAAATTGCATGATTGAGTAAACTTGATTGTCATGAAGTAAAAAATAATTTTAAATAATATACGTATAGCTATAAATATAGATATCTAATAAAGATGAATTATTTATTTTATTTTTAAAACTGCCTGTTTTGTTAAATTTTTTTCTGTTCACTGTAGTCTGTTTTATGGCAAAGATACATAGATAAACAAGCAACAATAGTCACTGATCTGAAGACAAAACGTGAAGTATTTGACTGGATAGTATAAAAGTGTGATTGTAAGATTGACGCCGTCTCATCTATTTGTTGAGATATCTTGCTCTGTGGCAAGATTTTTATGAAGACTTGTGAGGGTATTTGGAAGGGGGCTGGGAGGGGGGGGGGGGGTAAGAGATGGTGAAACCTAGTACGTAACTCTCTGAAAACAAATATGGATGTAAAATTATTTACCCCCCCCCCCCACCCCCCGTAGAAAAAGTCTGAAAGAAACAGCGCAGTCTACCCATTGTGATAGTGTTCGGCTTTACCAGACACAGTCACCACTCTCGGCCCACTCTTAGCTACACCAGAACCTTCACGGTCACTTAATTGACGCAAGGCTTAGCCATGTCATGAGACTATTGTCTTACACGCTTAGCGTTCCCGGACAAAGGTTGGCTAATTAATCGATTACAGTTCGGGAGAGAAAATAAAAACTACAGGAACTAAATCTAAAAATAAACAGCTGTTGATTTAAAAATGCAAACGACCTGCCTATTGGTAGTAGGTTATGATTTTTGTTTTTAAATGCGCCACATTGCATATAATAATAGATGACATGGACAATCTTAGATGTTTACAACAAAACTAAAATAAAAAGTGCGTTAACAAAATCTAAAAATAAACAGCTGTTGATTTACAACAATTCAAACATGCCAGTTGGCAGTAGCCTAAGATCAAATGTGCCACAGAGCATTTATACCAGATCTTCTTCTTTCTTAATTTTAGTGTTGGAAGGGATCCCCCTTCAACACAATTAAGGATACGTGTCAACTGGTTATGTGCCATTGAGGCCATAGATTCCTATTTCAGCCTGCTTTTCTTTTTGGATTTGCTTCCATAGCCTTTGTCCAACCAAGAACAAACTACAAGGCAGCAGTTGTTTGATTTTGGAGTTGTCTCACCCAGATAACGAGCCTCTTCTGCCCGAGGGTTCGAAGTCGAGACTTTTCGGTTTAGCAACATTTTAGAAGTTTACAAAAATTAACTAGGAGAAAAATGGTCGATTTATCTATTTTAATGAATGTCTTTACGGGCTTTGCCTCTAGACCACGCTGCCCCGTTACAAACTTGTGAACTTTAAAACGCCAACATTCATATTACTCGATCGTGTCATATTCAGTTCAGTATTATATATAGTTAAATTTTTCGATTGATGTTTAATGAAGAATTATCAAGAAGAACATTCATTTAACTGTTAACTAGGAAAAATTCATTTTCATTTGGAAAATAAGAAAACGATGGTTGGAGTTATGCGCTTAGAATACAAGCAGACGCTTTGGCTAAGACTGTTTTTTGATGGACATCGCAAGAAGGAGGCAAAAATATACTTGGTGAAGATCAATAAATGGAGAAATTTGAAGGATATCGACCGAAAAGTTAAACTTACTCACAGAATCCTCTTTGCTCCTCGTGGAACATAGGGCCTTAACCATAACCTTTCATTTTGTCCGGTCGCTGACTGTTAATTTTGCAATCTCTCAAGACATTACAGTTCTCCTAGAAGACTCCGCCTCAGGGGCTGTCTTGTATGCCTTCTCTTTCGCTTTCCCTGGGGGTTCCATCAAGCGCCAGGCGTGTCACGTTTGAGTGTGCCCAACAGTTTAACAGGCTGAGACTATAGCTAGAGACAAGACGAATGACGTTCATCTGTTAAGTCTTGTGCTCCAATAGACGTTGAGTGATGTTGATGAGAGATTGGTGATTAGAAACTACAACATCTGCAAGTTTGTCCTTGCATCAAAATAAAGGGGAGGTTTTGTAACGTTTTGTTTATGATGGGGGAGGGGTGATCAAAGGGAAATTAGCTGTGGCTTAACATGTACTGCTTCCCTAGACTACCTAATGAAGCCAAGTGCGGTTTGTTAGGGTTATTGTTTAAGCTAAGACAAGAGTTTGGGATTGTAGTAACGAGAGTTAGCTCAAGCAGTTTAGTCATCTAAGAGACTCGTGCTAGGTTCTAATGTCGAGTCCCTAGGTCAAGCAAGTTCTGAACTGAACTCAAGATTTTAGTGTTTCTAAACATGTGAGGACATTGTGTTAAGCAAGGATCAATCATAGGTCAAATATAGGCGACAGGTCGCGTAGGTCAGATAGATATTGGTCAAGCAGAACCAATAAGATTGCAGTAACACGAACTGACAGGTCACGTGTGACGGTCAGCTGACCCTTGAAGCGAGAGTGTTAGCAGCTGTTCATTGGAGCGTGTAGTGGACAGTCGTGTATTAGAAAACAGTTGTAAATAGATATTGTTAGGAAATTGTTAAGGTAATTCTGTAAATTAGTAATGTAATGCACAGTAGTGTATGAGTAAGATATTGATATGTGTAAATAAAGAAAATATAATACATATGGGATTGTACGTGTTAATTTTGCACATTGTCAGGCTAAAGAAGAGACGATTTAAAAGCGTTTTCCTTCTGTAGATTAATATATATATATATATATATATATATATATATATATATATATATATATATATATATATATATATATATATATATATATATATATATATATATTAGATCCAACAGACATCATTTCCCTCTAAAAAGCTACATTGCTCTGGAAAAAAATGTAGGATTATATAGTAGTCTAAGTTTATTTTTGGAAGCATAATCTTACGTTCCCAACCATATTTCGCCAACCTAAAATTTTTCCCATACTATTAAATCTAGCCCAAGTGAAGGTCAACTGCTTAAATAAGTGGGTCATCAGGTCATACGAACTACTAAATCAGCATTTAGTTTTATATATTGGTGTCACAGGACGGGGGCGGGGCTGTGGTATGCACCGGGTGACACATTTTAGAAGGCGATCATCATATGTTTCCTTTCGTTCCCACGACATATGGGGCAGATGAAATAGAGTTCATCTGTTTCGATAAACTTAGCATACAAGAATATGGAATGGTCAGCACTATGTCCAGCCGCCTTTGTTTCCTTAACGTGAGTCAGGTACCCATTAGAGCTGAATCGACTCAGGTATATCCTACAGACCAGAGCCCGGGATCCAAACGTGAGACTTCCGGTTTAGTAGTATAGAGCTCTACCACACGCCGTCTTATAAGAGTGTGATACACATACGAAATACCTTAACATTTAATTTACTGTCAAAACATAATTTTAATAATGGTAAGATTCATTTTATTACACTAGTACTGAAAGAGGTTTGCCACTAACTGAAAATGCAACATTATTAGATGGAGGTGGTGTCAGTAGTGTCACCCTCAAATACTGCACTGGGTGACACAAGATGTCTCATACTCTCAAACATCTACATTCTCTGACACGGTTGTATCGGTGTTATGTTTGTTTTGTTTTTTTTTTGTATCGCTGCAGTATGGGGTCGTACATATATGACGTAGCTATAACATACCACCACGCACTCATTGTAACGCAAAAGCTAAGCAAAGCAGAGGCGTAGCGACCCTTCCCGGCGCCCGGGGACAAACTTTCAATTTGGTGCCCCCCTCGGGAGCCAATTTTCAATTTGCACTCCCTCAAACTTTCGTTTTACACCCCCCCCCCCCTCAAAATATTTATAATGCAAAAATACAGCTAAAATGACATTTAAATTTGTTTTTACAACCCATTTTGGCGCCCTCTAAGGTCGGCGCCCGGGGACATATGTACCCCCCTGCCCCCCATCGCTACGCCTCTGAAGCTAAGCCCCCACCCCCTTCCATAAAATAGCATTTGCATTTCCCGGGCTCGTTAGCTGGGGACAGCCACTCTTCTAGGAGAGACAACTCCAAAATCAAACAACTGCTGCCTTGTAGTTTGTTCTTAGTTGGACCAAGGCTATGGAAATAAATCCAAAAAGACAAGCAGGCTGCAATGGGAATCAACCGCCTAAATGTCGCATAACCAGTTGACACGTATACTTAATCGTAATGAAGTGAATCCCTTTCAACACTAAAATTAAGAACGAAGAACATTTGCATTTCATCCTGCTTCCTTCTTCAGTCCCTTTTCATTCCCTTTATCCAAATATATATTATTAAAAAAAAAAAAAAGATTGACCGAGTTTCTTTCATGCAAGAAAGTGATAAAACCAAAATTAATAACGCGCAAATATGGTTAACAAATTTAATTTAGTTGAAAGCGTTAATACTGCTGATCTAATACTTAAGAGTTTAGCAAATCCGGGTTAAGATAGTTTGAATATATTTTAATTTTACTATAATGTTTTACTTTTTTAATTAGTTAAAAATAGACTCGAAACAATTGCTTAAGTTCAATTTTTTTTATATTCCAAATGTAAAAACGTCACACTCCCCCACACCCACCACACACTCTGTGCAATAAGGAAGACAGAAAAGGTTGGATGAAAAGCCTCACTGACGTCACATCCGTGTTTCAACCATCAATCAATGTCACACTGAAATCAAGCGATTGGTCCTTCGTTACTGAAGATAATACGTATCTCACAAAACTGACATTAAAGACACTTAATTTAAGTCTACCTGTACTGTGACCTCTCAGTAAACCCGTTCGCGTGATCTTCACATCACACGGTTCTCACTCTATCTAGAGTAATTTGTAAGTAAGCACATCCGGTGTCTAGCCATTTTTATTGAGCTATTCTAATTAGTATCTAATTATTTTTGACCGCATCGCAGATAAGGTTTAGATGAAGGTCATTTTTTAGAGTCATGAATACAAAAATACAATTGAACCTGGAACATGTTAAAGGCATGTGAAAGTGCGATCGTGTTGTAGAGCCAGGGGCGGAACCAAAAAAAAACAGTAGACACCACTATATTTTTCACACTCTATTTTCAGCTCATGCAGTTTTGTTTTATTTTAGTCTATAGAACAGCGTGTGTTTTTAGTTACTGCTGTAGTAGAGTTGTCTGCATTTTTTACAAAACCACTAACCTATCAAGGTGCAAAAAAAAAAAAAATATATATATATATATATATATATATATATATATATATATATATATATATATATATATATATATATATATATATATATATATATATATATATATATATATATATATATATATATATATATATATATATATATATATATATATATATATATATATATATATTGTTGTTTTTGGTTGGATTTTGGACCGCGCCTTAAACGTTTTTTTTTTCTATAAAACAGCGTGTATTAGTTACTATAAAATAATCACTGCTGTAGTAGAGTTGTTTGCATGTTTTTACAAAACAACTAATCTATCAAGGTGCAAAAAAAATTATTATTTAGTTGTTTTTGGTTTGATTTTGGGCCGCGCCTTAAACGGTCAGCACACCATGAAAAAGAAGAGCTAAGTAATGTACACAACCACAAATACTCTCAAAATTATTTGAAAGGCCCATTCAATATCTTTAAAATCATAGGCCTACACAATGTTATTAAAATAAGGTATTAAGGTATTGTAGTTCCGCCCCTAGGTAAAGCAAACTATCGCTGAAACGAAAGTCTCGGGTTTAGTTCCCATGTTCGGTCACCACATAATCTTTATAATTAATATTTCAAGGCCAAAATTAACAAGCGAACACTACCACATCTGTTCCTGAAAAAAACATTCAGTTTAATGAAAAATCTGAACAGACCTACACTCTGCCGGGGATTAAGGAAGTATTGTTTATCATTAATGTATACATAATCAAATACCAGCTGTTTACTTGTAGTATAAATTTGATAAAGAGGAAAAAAATTAAGCGTGGTTCTTAAAATATTGAGTGACAAGGATTCGATGTTTATTATTTATTGGCTTTCAGATGGTAAAATGCATTGTGCTCTTTTAGGCCCACGGTCCATATAGCACATGAAGTAGATCTTATGTCTAACGCAGTGGTTTTTTTCAGCCCCCCACCTCTCATAGCTCGTCTAATCCCCCCCCCCCCCAACGCAAAATAATTTATACCAGTGTCCTCCCCCCCCCCCTCCACGGAAAATTTAGTTTCAAGTGCGCCGGAGAAAAAAATGGTTGAAAGAAACACTGGTCTACTGTCGGCATGATAAGACAGTTTGGCAAGTCGCCTTTTTTCAAACGCATTGTTTCTTCCAGACTTTTTTTCCTGGGGGAGGGGGGGGGGGTACTTAATATTTTCGGTGGAGGGGGGGGGGGACTAAATTTTCCGGGGGGGGGGGGGGACTAGTAAAAATTATATATTTTCTATAAACATTTCTCGTTCGGGGGAGGGGGTGGAGGGTAAACTTTCTTCTTCAGGGTGGGGGGGATGCTTAGCCCCCCCCCCCCACCCTCCCGCCCGAAGAGATGCCTGGAAGAAGCACTGCTCAGACGTGCTGTGCTGCCTAAGGACGCGAATCTTACACGGGCTTAATAATCGTGCGCTACAGGCCTACATATATCGCGCCCTCCTCGCGAATATGTTAATGAGTAGAGCCGATATAATGAATTAGGGTAGTGTTCAATGGTGTTTATTAATACCATTGCTAAATACTGTTAAATGGTTTGCAAAGTGATGAATGTTACCGCTTTAAAATAACCCAACTAAGTTACATTAAGCTTCACGGAAACTAACCCTCTCCTCACTACGAAATTTCCACTTCTAAATTATTTAATTTTGTGGGGGGTGTGGGGAATGTTCGATTCACAAAATAGCAAAAATTGGGGAAATGGCAAGGAGGTGGGGGGGGGGGGGGGGGCAGTTGATCGGGTAAATTGGTAAAAAGTTATCCGGGGGGCAGACGACCCCCCCCCCCCACACACACACAAATAAAAAATACTTCATCTCTGTCCACCACCCCCACCCTCCGAAAGGTTCAAAACCACCTCACCCAGATGTTCAATTGAACCCTTATTCTCCCGTTTTGTCGGAGGCCATTTAGACCGGGCCCTTTTATTCGCTTGACGTAGCCTAAGATAACCCTACTCCCGGTTTTGAGAACCGCTCTTACCACAGATTGTTGATGCGAAGCTGCATCCATGTGTTGCTTTAAATACCTGTGTCGGTTTGTGTTTAACTTACACAAGTGAAGCAGGACATTACTCAGGTAAATTAAAAAATGTAGTAATGACAAACGTATATTACACTTAGTTTTAGTAAGCCCAAATTTATTGAACTAAAACTTTACTTTAAGAATTATTGAAGACTACGTTAACAGTTGATGTGATGTTGTGGTTTTATATAACAAACGTTTAGGCTGTATAATTATATGGGCCTATCCTATAGGCCTATATTTTACAAATAAATTATACTTTGTATTATTTGCCTGCATCTAATTCGTGCCGTCTTAGTTTTGAAAAAAAAAATATATATCTAACTGATAGCCTAGAAATGTAATAAGAATGTTTTTAGATACAATATTAGTTTACTAACTTTTGAATCTAATTATTATTTGGCTTAATCACAGATTGTAAAAGAAAAAAGCGAATGTTTAATATCGATAGCTTGCACTTTGAATGTTTCGCTTTTTAGGCCTAAATCAAAGAAAACAAACGTCAGAAAAATCCCCTTCTCTTTTTTCGAAAACAAGAGATGTAAACAGAGTGATACACTAAAAAAAATCTTTCGCTTTTTATGCACTTATAGATCTAGATCTACTATACACGTAAGGCGTCGTAAGGAATACCATGACTTTTCAAGAAAACAAAGCTGTTCCTTAGATTTAGATAACTTTTCTAGATCTAGGAGGTCATATCTCTGTAAGACTACACTCCAAGATCTACATCTGCTACATCTAGATCTAGATTCTACTAGATTCTAGATCTTGTCTAGTTCTAGAATCTCACAAAAAAAAAAAAAAAAAATTAACACTGCAGACTGCAGACAGAGTGACAAAGTTTGTGAGTAGAGAAAAAATAAATAATAAATAAGACTGTAGGCCTACTTAAACTGGTAGATCTAGATCTCTAGATCTACTTTGATCTATAATTCTAGACTAGATCTAGATCTAGATGTAGATCTAGATCTAGAATCTAGTACTAGAGTCTAGGGTAATCTATCGTTTTGGGTACGTAAAATCGCCCGCGGCTATTTATGTACGAAAACGTTACCTCATTGTCAAGGCTTTAATAGAAGTATATTGTCATACTTTTGTGTCAAATATTATAGATAAATGAATAATAAACCTAAATCAATGGCTAAATATATCGATATAGGCCAGAAATTAACTTTAAACAGCAGTGTCTGAGAGCAAGATTTGCTATATAAACTATTATAAACAGCAGCCATTTGTAAAATAGAGTGGCTTCCCCCTGAATCTGGCGCTAAAAGCTTATAAAAATAAAACTTAGACAAGATGGCTGCTATAGTAAATGAGCATGGTTGCATCTGTTGGAAACATCGCTAGTCTTCATTTATTACGGAAAAGTTTTAATTCAATTTTTTAAAAACAGGTACATAAATGAATCAAGGAAACATTTTTGAATTTTTTAAAACATAAATCCTCCTCAAAATGTGAAATAATTATTAAAATTTAAGAAGTCACCTGTTTTTCACATTACAAATCGCGGGCGATTTTACGTACCCAAAACGATAGATTACCGAGTCTAGATCTAGATCTCTAGTGTACTGATTGTTGACTAGATTTCTCTATTTCAGTCTGCTGTCGGTAATCATCTGACATCTATCGTTTTATTTAGAACTTAGAATACTTAGATCTATTCTAGGTAGGTAGGTAGGCTACGTAAAATCGGCTTCGACTAGTAATGTGAAAAAAGGTGACTCATTAAATTAAAGTTAAGTAATTATTTCACATTTTTAGGAGGCAGGAGGATTTATTATAATTTGTGATAGTTACAAAAATGTTTCAAAGTTTCATGCATGTAGATTCTAGATCTTTACCTGTTTTTAAACAATTGTATTAAAACTTTTCAGTAATAAATAAAGACTAGCGTTGTTTTCATCAGATGGAACCAAGCTCATTTACTTTAGCAGCCACCTTGTTTAAGTTTTTTTTTGTAAAATTATAGTGCGAGATTCAGGGGAAACCACTCTAATTTACAGTTTATATAGCAAATCTCGCTCGCAAACACAGCTGTTTAAAGTTAATTTCTGCACTAAGCTAAATTGATATATTTAGCCATTGATTTTGGTTTATTATTCAGTTATCTATACCTAATGCCTAATATTTAACACAAATATATCACAATATACGTTTATTAAAGTCTCAACAATGAGACAACTTTTTTTCTCATTACTAGCCTCGGCCGATTTTAAGCACCTAAAAATGCTAGATTACCATTTTAAGTTTTATGTAGCCTAAAGACATTAGTACATAGATTTCTAGAATCTAGTACTAAAATTTATTTTTTATCCAGGTCAACAATAATTATGAAGAATTCTCAACTCAGTCATGCCCATTAAGACAAAAATTTACAAAATGCTACTAATTACCCACTTAGGACTTAGGGGTCCAAAGCGTACCACTGGTTAAGCAAACAAGTACCAATGGGTATAAAATATAAAAATACTACCGTTGCTGGATATTGGTTCAGCCTACCACTAATTTAATAATGGGTTGTGAAACTGATAGAGTTAACCAGTCTTTGTGAACAATCCCAATTATTTCAGTTGTGTGGTAAATGTATTTTAAGTGACAGTAATATGTTCCCCTGGCTAACTAAAAAGTTAACATAAATATATCGGATCCTATCTTAATACCACAAACTCTATCTCTGTAGGACTTCCTTGCTAGAGTCTAGATTTAGATCTATTCTTGTTAGTAAAAAAATAAATCACTAAATAGAGTATAGAGATCTTTTATTTGTAAACAGTTAAAAAAATCTTTAATAAATATTTGCAATTGTTATGCCATTCTATTTGCATGAAAACTGTTTTTATGAATATTTGTATAGCCATGGGGAAATATCAGGATTTAAAAAGAGGTTTAACGTCCCCCCACCCTCCTATATATATATGCTTTTTTTTTTCTGTTTAACAAACCCTCACAAAAGTCTACATCAGCCTATGTATAAATCCCTCATAGCAAGCCAAAGTTTCAACTACTTTCCCTTAGATGTGTACCAACATTTTAAATTACTGTAAAGCTAATACGTTTAAACCATGGGAATTTAGCATGCAGGCTAAAAAGTTACCATTGAATTTAATTTGATCTCAATAGAGATTGGTATATAATGGTAATACACATCATTAAAATATTTTTGTGTTTGTTTTACAGCTAACAAAGTTGAACTGAAAATCACAAAGTTTTGAGCTATACCACAATGAGTTGTGAATCAGTACAAAACGGTTTGATTCAAAATCACCCCCTGAATGAGCTGAAACAGATAGCAGAGGACAATGACCTGGATATTCTGGACTTAAAATTCGCCAAGTTAATGGATGAAAAAGATCCATTGAGACACCTCCGAGATGAATTCCACTATCCCAAGATGGGTGATATTTTAAACAGTGAGTGATAACACAATTTTTGTCATTTCGGGAGACGGTCATTTAGTAAATTAATTATAAAATTGGGATTAAAGTATTAGATACTGTCCTCTCTTTATTAAATACTAGTATTATGTTTTATCATCTACTTAATTGTAATTAACACATTTTTAATTAGCAGTGTATTGATTGCAGCAAAACATAAAACTTAAAGTGTGAGATATATTTAATTAACTAATCATTTGCATACATTGACTTATACAAAGTAGATTAATAAGCTAGGCTTATCCAGATGATTATAAGTATCATTTTTATTATATAGTAAGATTACTCGATTGAATATGTATGTATGTTCCTTTCTAAATGAAGGTGTTTTAAACAATTATAAATTCATTCCAGCTGATCCAAAGATTGTGGACCCATCTGAAGATTGTGTGTATTTCTGTGGTAACTCCCTGGGACTTTGCCCCAAGAAAACAAAGGAGTATATGAACATTGAGGTGGATAAATGGGCCAGTCTGTGAGTGATATTTATTGTTTTCAATGTAGATTTTGTTACTTAAATTACGGTGTGTGAAGTGTTCCATATTTTGAACCCTCAAACACATGAGGCTTGTCAACTGTGGACAGATACCCATCCAAGCTGTATAGGTAACACCCTATCCCCTGGGTCCATCAGCTGTGTGGAGAAAGGGGGGGGCCTGATACATGAGAAACATCTGGCTCTTCTCAACTTAGGGATCCATGCATTATGCTCAGATTTTCAATGCACAATCATCCAGTGGTCTATTAGACAATTGTGCCAAATATGACATGACATATGTAAATCTTACCCTTATATAAAAGTATAAATGCCTTTATTTTAATTAGGTATAAAGTAAATTACTTGGGTTTTGAGCTGAGATTAGCTAGGATTACAGTTGATTTGCTTATTAATTTCCTAATTAACTATTGCAAATTTAATTGTGTCAATTAACATATAAATTAAGTATTGTACAGAAAAGCACCCTTTTGAAGAAAAAAAAGGAAAGCATCCTTTCATATATACACCCTATCATCCATATACTGCCGATGAAGTAGAGTTTTCTGTCTGTATGGCCAGAACACATAAATGGAATGTGTGGCCGGCAATATGCCCTGATGCCTTTACATTCCCTGACAAGAGCTAAATATGGCCTACACTCTTGAGGTGTTTGAGAGACATCCTGATGGGAATTGAACCTGTTCCCTTCAGGTTAACCATAGAGCACTCAGCATCTTTCTGGCAACTCGGGTATATGAAGAGAGAATGCGGTAATCCACCCACACTCACTTATCCTGGTTAGGGCATACACAAACAGATCAGAAACCTAATTTAATATTTTATCTCCATACTAAACACTCGTATATATGAAAATCAGTTTCCGAAACAGCTGTTGCATATTTAATTAACCATGAGACTTAATTATTAGACTTTAAACCTGAGAGTATTGTTTCAGTATAATACAATTGACCTAATTAACCAATATAAGTAGCAAGGTGTTACAATGGAGATAGTTTTTGTATTCATAGGTTTCAATTTGATAATAGGCTGTACAGTTCACAACATATCACTCAGCCGAAGCTTTAACATACCCTTGATGTAGTAGAAGAGTACTTCCAGCTTTAACATCCCCTTGATATAGTAGACAAGTACTTTCAGCTTTAAAATCCCCTTGATATAGTAGACAAGTACTTCCAGCTTTAACATTCCCTTGATATAGTAGACAAGTACTTCCAGCTTTAACATTCCCTTGATATAGTAGAAAAGTACTTCCAGCTTTAACTTTAAAATCCCCTTGATATAGTAGACAAGTACTTCCAGCTTTAACATTCCCTTGATATAGTAGACAAGTACTTTAAGCTTTAACATCCCCTTGATGTAGTAGAAAAGTACTTCCAGCTTTAACTTTAAAATCCCCTTGATATAGTAGACAAGTACTTCCAGCTTTAACATTCCCTTGATATAGTAGACAAGTACTTTAAGCTTTAACATCCCCTTGATGTAGTAGAAAAGTACTTCCAGCTTTAACTTTAAAATCCCCTTGATATAGTAGACAAGTACTTCCAGCTTTAACTTTAAAATCCCCTTGATATAGTAGACAAGTACTTCCAGCTTTAACATTCCCTTGATATAGTAGACAAGTACTTTAAGCTTTAACATCCCCTTGATGTAGTAGAAAAGTACTTCCAGCTTTAACTTTAAAATCCCCTTGATGTAGTAGAAGAGTACTTCCAGCTTTAACTTTAAAATCCCCTTGATATAGTAGACAAGTACTTCCAGCTTTAACTTTAAAATCCCCTTGATATAGTAGACAAGTACTTCCAGCTTTAACATTCCCTTGATATAGTAGACAAGTACTTTAAGCTTTAACATCCCCTTGATGTAGTAGAAAAGTACTTCCAGCTTTAACTTTAAAATCCCCTTGATATAGTAGACAAGTACTTCCAGCTTTAACATTCCCTTGATATAGTAGACAAGTACTTCCAGCTTTAACTTTAAAATCCCCTTGATATAGTAGACAAGTACTTCCAGCTTTAACATTCCCTTGATATAGTAGACAAGTACTTTAAGCTTTAACATCCCCTTGATGTAGTAGAAAAGTACTTCCAGCTTTAACTTTAAAATCCCCTTGATATAGTAGACGAGTACTTCGAGCTTTAACCTACCCTTGATATAGTAGACAAGTACTTCCAGCTTTAACATTCCCTTGATCTAGTAGACAAGTACTTCCAGCTTTAACATCCCCTTGATATAGTAGACAAGTACTTCCAGCTTTAACATTCCCTTGATATAGTAGACAAGTACTTCCAGCTTTAACATTCCCTTGATATAGTAGACAAGTACTTCCAGCTTTAACATTCCCTTGATATAGTAGACAAGTACTTCCAGCTTTAACATCCCCTTGATATAGTAGACAAGTACTTCCAGCTTTAACATTCCCTTGATATAGTAGACAAGTACTTCCAGCTTTAACATTCCCTTGATATAGTAGAAGAGTACTTCCAGCTTTAAAATCCCCTTGATATAGTAGACAAGTACTTCCAGCTTTAACATCCCCTTGATATAGTAGACAAGTACTTCCAGCTTTAATGTACCCTTGATATAGTAGACAAGTACTTCCAGCTTAAATGTACTCTTGATATAGTAGACAAGTAATTTTAAGTTCTTAACAAAGAAAAGATTTTTTTATTTTAAGGTTACAGTTAGGATTTGGGTTATGTATTGGGAAAAGTCATCAACAGTGATTAATCATTTAACTTATTGAAAAATTATTGATTAAAAAGAATAATTAATAAGGCATTGGTGTTTTGTAATATACAGGTATAGGCCTAGTTATTATAACAAGCCCTAGCCTTTAATTTTTCTGTGATTCTAGATTTTTTTTTTCTGGTAGCTTGTTGCTATTTTTTTTTTTTTTTTTTGCTGTAATGTTAATCTCATTAAAAATTGGTATGGTTGTTTCACTGTAAAAATGTGGCTGAAGTAGAGAATGAACACAAACAGTGAAGGTTACTGCAATTAATGTGCAAAAAAATGGTTCGTGGTAGTTCTCATAGACAGTTTAGTTTAGTGGAAAAACTATCAGTTAGTTGACTAGATTTAGTAGTAGTACAATAGTTATGTAGTCTCTGTTTACTGTATCTTCATTCACTATGAGCAAAGATTTGTGTCCAATGTACACTTCTTCTGGTATTTAAAAAAAATAAAAATAAAAAATTTATCCTACTGACTAACCTGAATTACTTTATAGTTTTAATTTGATCCAACTGGGCTTGCCATAATTCTTACAGATGATACAAGCCACATTAAGGACCTGCCCTAAATTATTACTTCATTATCCTACAATGCTAAACTATTAGAGTATGCCCAGAACTTTTAAGTAAATCTTTCATTTGATCCTATTTGAATGCCATACTATTACTACTATGATACTTTCTCAGAGGTGTACAAGGCCATACAAATGGGGATCTGCCCTGGGCCTGGTGTGATGAGCTGTTGGAGGAGGACATGGCTAAAATTGTTGGTTAGTTTCATTTGGTTTATCATTTGAAATTGTTGATTAGTTTCATTTGGTGTATCATCTGAAATTGTTGGCTAGTTTCAGTTGGTTTATCATCAAAACTTATGGTTGATGACATTTCTTTTGTAATCTAAAAATTGTTAGTTAGTTTCATTTGGTTTATCATCTGAAATTGTTGGTTAGTGACATTTGTTTTGTCATCTTTTGTAATCTAAAAATTGTTGGTTGGTATCATTGTTTTGTCTTACTTTAGTACTTGAGAGCTTTTTGGCAAATGAATATGTTTTCTTTGTGCCATTTGTATGAGTTCAAGTTGAGCTATAATATGTTTTGTTATGTTTATTGTAGACTAATTTTGTCATACAATACATGGCTTTATTTTTGTAGTATCAAATTATAGTAATTAAAGTTCCCTTTTCGAATCTTACGGTCCATGACGCAGGTGAAGTAGAATTTGTCTCTTTTTTCCCACGTTTTCTTTAACTTGCTTTCTCTGTGTGTTTCTGTGTTTGTCTTTCCAATCCAATCTTGCGATCGAAATTTCTGGCACTTCCCAGTTAGCTAGCGCGCTGAAATTTTCAGGGAAGCTTTGTTTTGGATGACAATTGAATATTCTATTGTTTTTATTACTAAATTAATCCATGGAAACATTTTATTGATCATTTTAAACCGCTATATAATTGTACCAAAAAACGTGGGGGAAAAGGGACATTACCCAGTAACTGTAATTTGATGAAAACAAGGTTCGGCACTCCCCCTCTTTTTGCTTACTGAGTAGTTGTCACGCTGTGTTTGTGTACAAACAACCATAACGTAACAACTGGTGGCCAGTATGGGGGAGACGATATGGTCGAGTGGTTGGGCACACGATTGCTATCCCACTCGACACGGGTTCAAATCTATGTGTTCTAGTCAGTAACGTATTCACACAACGTGTTTTTTACGAGTTGTCTTTTTACGAGTTGTCTTCGTTTACCCAAAAAAAAAAAGTGAAAAGATAAAATCGATAGCAAGATTTACATGCAAACAAACAGACAAACACTAAAAAGTAGAAAATAATAATCATTAAAAAAGTTTTAAAAAACCCACGTTTTCTGATTGAACTAAAAAGTAGAAAATAAATACTATACATCACAATAATGCAAGCGATCACTCTACTATAAGCTATCAAAAACGTGGGGCGCCGTGATTTTCTTACAGTTTCTAATACTGTTGACTCTCTACAAGCTCCCTAATAAAAGTCAATAGTATTATCTAATCAATAGTAATATAACTTTTACTTCGGCGAACCACGTTTTTGATAGCTTATAGTAGAGTGATCGCTTGCATTATTGTGATGTATAGTATTTATTTTCTACTTTTTAGTTCAATCAGAAAACGTGGGTTTTTTAAAACTTTTTTAATGATTATTATTTTGTGACCTCGACTTATGAAGTGATAGTGTGGTCAGCAGTATGCCCAACTGCCTTTTTTTCCCTAATGTGGGTTATGTACCCATCAGAGCTTGGCGGATTCAAGGATGTTTTACTACTTGAACCCGGATTAGAATTTGAGACTTTAGTGTTAGCAGTCTAGAGCTCTAGCAATAAGCCACGCTATCCCACAGTCTAAAATTATGATCGGCGATATTGATTTGATCATCTTGTTTATAAATAAAGCCTGACATTTATTAAAATTAATTTTATATAAATCCAAAATACTGTTTAAACTTTTGTTATATTTATAGTGTTTTCCTGTTGCTTGCTTTATTTGTAATCACATTATTTTCTTTTCATATGTACGTTTAATTTTTTATACTGTATAATGTAGTATTTAAGACAGTTATGTTCCATTTTATCTTCAGGGTATAAGCAACTTGACATTTCTTAAAATTAATTTTATAAAGATAAAAAATACTATTTTACTTTGGTTTTATTTATTGAGTTATTCTGTAAACACATTATTTTCTTTTTGTATGTACGTTTTATTTCTGATACTGTTTAATGTAGTGTTTAAAACTCTTAAGTTCCATTTAATCTCCAGGATGTAACCGTGAAGAAGTTGCATTGATGAATGGTTTAACTGTCAACTTACATCTACTCTTGGCAAGTTTTTCTTTTCGGTCAAGACATACAACAAGCATAGCAAAAAAATAATTCACATTTTAGTTGCTTATGTGATTAAAAAAACTACATCCATAAAAAAGTTAGTATCTGACTTGTTTTAAACTCATTATTTTGTGCAGATATCTTTCTATCGTCCAACAAAAGACAGGTATAAAATTTTATGTGAGAGCAAGGCCTTCCCATCTGATCATGTATGTATTTAGCTGTTTCAAACACGTTTTATTTCATTAGTTTGCTTTATGCATGTGCTTTAGTTAGCATTTATTGATCTTTTATTTTATAAAATTAAGTACAGATTAATTATGTATGTATCTTGCAGTCATCTACCGGTAACATTTAGTGTATGCGCACTAGTCGGTTATAGCGGTAGCATATTGCACATTATCCTAAATGAGAGACACACAGACTAACTAATTAATTACACTCTAATACAGAGCCTAGTATCTAATTAGCTACAGCTGCTGAATAATTAAGTACTCTCATGTACAGTAAACAATATATTACACACAGATAATCAGTAAACAATTAATTACACACTGATATTGACTAGTTAATTACACACAAATAGGCAGTGATTAATTAATTACATACATTAAGTAGTTAACTACTCACAGAGAGAAATTAGTTTCACACTGACATTGACTAATATTGCTTACAAGTAGTCAGTGATTAATTAATTACACACATATAGCCCTATTACTTAATTAATTACACACATTGATTAATTATGTACACAGATATCGACTAAATAATTACACACAAATGGGCAGTGATTAATTACATACATTAAATAATTAACAGTGATAAATTAGTTTCACAATCACGTTGACTAATAATTGCTTACAAGTAGTCAGTGATTAATTAATTACACACATATAGCCCTATTACCTAATTAATTACACACAGGGATTAATTTTGTACACGCAGACATTGACTAATTAATTACACACAAGTAGACAATGTTTAATTAATTAGACATAAACAATGACTAATTAATTAATTCATGTGTTTCAGTATGCCTTTGAAAGCCAGTCTATGCTCCATGGCTACAACCCTAACGATGTTATGATTTGTGTAGAGCCACGACAGGTAAAGTACTATAAAATTTACAAAGTTTTTATTTAGATTAGTAAGTAAAGTAAAGTTCCCTTTCAAACCTGATGGTCGGTGGTGTAAGTGAAGTAGAGTTCACTTGTTTCTGTGACCTCGGCATATGAAGAGATAGTGTGGTCAGCGCTATGCCCAGCCACCTTTACTTTCTCTAACATGAGTTAGGTGCCCATCAGAGTCGGATGGACTCAGGGACGGCCTACTGACTTGAACTCGAGACTTACGGGTAAGCAGTCCAGCTCTCTACCGCTAGACCACGCCGTCCCCTTATTTAGATTAGTTACCATCAATTTTTTTTTCCTAATTTTTAGACAAATATAAAATTCAAGTTTGTATCTTTTTTGTTCTCATTTTGTTCTTATTTCATTAGTAAAAATACGTTTGTTTTAATAACATGACTGATGTACAATATTTGGTTCCCAGAAAAATGCGCTATTGTAAAACTGCGTAGCAGATAAATGCACAAATAATTAAACTAATACACTTTAATTTTGTCATATTTCATGGAAATATGCTCTATCATGCTACAGTATATATAAATATAGTCATTCTTGTCAATGTCTATAAATGCTCTTTTTTAGAAAATAAAAATGCAGTTTTCTGTTACCCTGTTTTCCATTGTTCACCTTTCCATTGCACTTCTTTACCTTGACCATAATGTTTATCTTTCAGTTAGAGTTCACTCTACGCACTGAAGATATTCTGATTGACCATAATGTTTATCTCATAGGGAGAGTTCACACTACGTACTGAAGATATTCTGATTGACCATATTGTTTATCTTGCAGGGAGAGTTCACACTACGTACTGAAGATATTCTGGAAGTCATTGAGAAGGAAGGAGATAAAATTGCTGTTGTTTGCTTTGCTGGTGTACAGTACTACACAGGCCAGCTGTTTGATATACAGACCATTACAAAGGCTGGTCATGCTAAGGTAATTGTATGGTCTAATGGTAGAGTATATGATAAGTTACCCCAAAGACTTGAGTATAGATCCTTGTTTAGTATACAAACCATAACAAAGGCTGGTCATGCTAAGGTAATGGTATGGTCTAGTGGTAGAGTATATGATAAGTTACCCAAAAGACATGAGTATAGATCCTGGTGTAGTATACAGACCATTACAAAGGCTGGACATGCTAAGGTAATGGTATGGTCTAGTGGTAGAGTATATGATTAGTTACCTAAATGTCTTGAGTTTAGATCCTGGTGTAGTATACAGGCCATTACAAAGGCTGGACATGCTAAGGTAATGGTATGGTCTAGTGGTAGAGTAGATGATTAGTTACCTAAATGTCTTGAGTTTAGATCCTGGTGTAGTATACAGATCATTACAAAGGCTGGTCATGCTAAGGTAATGGTATGGTCTAGTGGTAGAGTATAGATCCTTGTTTAGTATACAAACCATAACAAAGGCTGGTCATGCTAAGGTAATGGTATGGTCTAGTGGTAGAGTATATGATAAGTTACCCAAAAGACATGAGTATAGATCCTGGTGTAGTATACAGACCATTACAAAGGCTGGTCATGCTAAGGTAATTGTATGGTCTAGTGGTAGAGTAGATGATTAGTAACCTAAATGTCTTGAGTATAGATCCTGGTGTAGTATACAGGCCATTACAAAGGGTGGACATGCTAAGGTAATGGTATGGTCTAGTGGTAAAGTAGATGATTAGTTACCTAAATGTCTTGAGTTTAGATCCTGGTGTAGTATACAGGCCATTACATAGGCTGGACATGCTAAGATAATGGTATGGTCTAGTGGTAGAGTAGATGATTAGTTACCTAAATGTCTTGAGTTTAGATCCTGGTGTAGTATACAGATCATTACAAAGGCTGGTCATGCTAAGGTAATGGTATGGTCTAGTGGTAGAGTAGATGATAAGTTACCTAAAAGACTTGAGTATAGATCCTGGTGTAGTATACAGACCATTACAAAAACTGGTTATGCTAAGGTAATGGTATGGTCTAGTGGTAGAGTATTTAATTAGTTACCTAAAGGTCTTGAGTATAGATCCTAATGTGCATACAGGGTTGGCTATTCTATAGTAATATTATATAGTCCAGTGGTTGGGAATTTGATTAGTTAAAGTTTTAAAAATAGACCTTTGGCTGTTATTTTTGCAATAGTATAATTTTTTTTTTAAAATACCAACAATATATCTGACAATGTAGGACACACCACATCATTTTAGGACAATACATCACTTAGGACAACCAATGACTAACAACAATCAAGCTCATTGCTTTTAGGAACACCCCATCCCCTCCCCCAGGGTGTACTCAGCTCTGTTGGGTACTTGATTTCTGTAGGGGAAAGTAAAGTTAGCAAGGCAACATCCTCACCAAGCAATCATTTTCACAGGGATTCAAAGACACGTGAACTCTACTTCATCTGCATAATTTTGAAACAGGTTTACAGATAATAATGGAATGCTATGTAAAAATGTGACATTTGCTCAAAACATATTTCAAATTTTACGACTGCGTATGAAGATAATACAAAGATAACAATATGATTCCTCTAGAATTACCCACATCAACATTTATGATAGCAGACAGGCATGTTATCAAAAGAGTCTGTCTTATGATGTAATCAGATATCACATAAATATTCAAATTCATGCATGAAATATGTATTTTGTTTTGTTAGAAAAGGCAGCATATTGCTATAAATATGCATGGAATACATATTAAGTAATGTTATTTTGGCTTATTTTGTGTATATTTTATATTATTTACCATTATGATCTGTATGTGAATCATGATGTGATAATGTTTCAAGTATGATCACATCATGTGGCTGCTACTGTCCTGCATTTTAGTTTCCCCATGTCCTATTAATGACCTTTGTTATTTCATATTTATTTTCTATATTTCCCTATTTTATGTCCTATTATATCATGTAGTTTAGGGCTATATCATGTCTAAGATCTTTATATCGATATTCTATTAGGTTTCATATTTCATTGTTCTTTAATTATATTTACATTTTATATTTCTAATTTTCTATTTATACCCCTTATTTCTTTTTTCTTAAGTTTTATTTAAACCCCATTATGTTATTTCTCTTATTTCCTATTTATGCTCCATATTTTTGTGTTCTCAATTCATAGTTACATCTAATGTGTTATTGTTCTATGTTGTATGTATGCCCCCATGATTCATTGTTTATATCCTATATTGCAGGGCTGTTATGTGGGATGGGATATGGCTCATGCAGTTGGTAATGTTCCCCTATACCTACACGACTGGGACATAGACTTTGCCTGCTGGTGCACATATAAGGTATCAAAAGTTTTCATGAACACATTTCTTCACTTCTTTGTGTTGATGAGAACTTGTGTTCCATCATGTTGATAGTAGAGTACATCTTCATTTATTTAATGGGATGATGTGGTTGGATGGCAGAGTGTACAACTGCTAACCCAATAGTCCTGCATTTGGACCCTAGGCTTGAGTGCCTTAGATGACAACCCAGCTCATGTTAGGGAAATAACACTGACTGCAATATCCCAACCTATTCTAAAACAGGTGATCTCTACTTCCCATGGACTATCAGAATCAAAAGAGTACTTTACTTACTTACTATTTAAATGTAGAGTAAACAAGTTAATTAAAAAGTCTAGTGACAATTTTAGCGCAATTTCCTTATGTTATCTAAAAATAGCTCTGTCGTAGCGTAAATCAAGAGCAGGGTTAGTAAAACCATTGGTTAGTTATTAAAACGTTTTTTATTAAATAAACCTAACTACTAACTAAACTAAGCACCTTGAAATCAAGAGCAGGGTTATTAAAACCATTGGTTAGTTGAACTTGATTATCAACATGATAATCATTAAGATGATAGATCTCTACTTCCGGCATGTATATACAACCACACCACACGCGTCATCACGTTCAATAGATGCGTCATCACGTTCCATGGCTGCGCCATCACGTTCAGTAGGCGCGCAAGTTAATTAAAAAAGTCTAGTGACATTTATGCGCAATTTCCTTATGTTATCTAAAAATAGCTCTGACGTATAATGATTGGGTGCGTTCAAGCTAGAAGAGCGATCGGTTTGTAGGTGTTTATGTAATTTTAAAATTTGTGACCGAACGAGAGGATATTTTTGAAAACTTTCTTCGGCAATATTGTTCTAAATTAGGGCAGGAATCGATTGGTACATGTTTCAAGTCGCTAAGTGGTCTGGTTGCCGAGATATGGGCCAAAAACTGCATTTTTTCGAGGTTGTTTGGCTTTTACGGGAAATACATGAAAGAAACCCGGAATTTTTATGGCCTATGCTCATTCTCGTAACTTGCTTAACATAATTGCTTTTGGAACTAGTCATCGATATTGCTTCGTTGAGGAGGAGATACGACTTAAAGCCCGGATACACATTCATCCATTTATTCATTCATCCATCCATCCATTCCCAGAAATGACGAGTTAATAAACGCAATTCTCCAGAATGGAAATTGCGCTAAAAAATGTACTTTGTACACTTTATTTATAACAAAACGATATATGGGTTAAAAAAATAGGCAAATGATGTATGAATGTTTTCAAAGGAAAAATGTCTTGCATGAACATGTAACTTTATGTAGTCAAACCATAATCTACCAGCTTGAGCTTGCTCTAAATCAAATTTAATCTCAGTGTTATTAAAGTTTGACTACTAATATACATGTCAATAAACAGCTTTAATATCACTGGGGCATATTGATTCACATCCCGCATATAACTTTCTGATCTGGTAAAAAAAAAAAGTTGACTCCACTGTTTTAGAAAGGTGACATGACTCTTTACAAATACATTTGAGTTGACAAATACCTGCCTACCAAAAAATGTTGTTCTCACTTTTCTAAAAATATTGATCTTATTGTTTTAAAAATTTGCTCTCAGCGATAAAAAAAAATTGTCTTTCACTAATGCAACATCAACATTTTATCAACCGATAAACAGTTTATCTGATTAAGAAAGCTGACTTTTTATTATATCTATCAGAACTGATTGATAAAATGATCTATTCAGTGTATTTGACCTCATTGACAAAAACTTAACCTCACCAGCAGAGTTTCTTCCAGGCATCTCTTCGCCCCCCCCCCCCGAACGAAATGAAATTTATATAATTTATATAGAGAATATATACTTTTAACAGTGTCCGCCCCCCCGAAGAAAGTCTACCGCCCCCCCGAAAATTTCAAGTGCCCCCCTGGAGAAAAAAGTCTGGAAGAAACACTGCTCACCAGCATACATAATTGACCTGATTAAAAAGTTGACCTCACGAATGAAAAAGTTTACCTCACTAATCAACTAATGAAAACATGACCATACTAACAGAACCTAAACCTCGCCAATGTAGGCCCAACATACCTTATCCAAACATAAAAAGCATTGACCTTGACCTGAGCAATGACCTCACGTTTTTACACGTCTAATCCAACAGTACCTTAACGCCAGTGCTGGAGGCCTGGCAGGTTTGTTCATCCATGAAAAGTTCCGCTCCAACAACTTCCCTAAGCTGCTGGGCTGGTGGGGGCACGACATGTCCACAAGATTTAAAATGGACAACAGTAAGTAGTTTATCTATATGACATCGGCTATGAATTTTATTGATAGGGGATCATGTAGAATTTTTCATTCATGGGACATCAACTTTTTTTTAGTGACACCAGCTAGATTTTTATTTACAAGCATGGTTAGTTTTCTATTTGTAAAAAAATCAGCTTAATTTTTTTTTTATATATGACATGATATAGATTTAAAAAATTTGAAAGTGAATATTTATTTATTATATGTATGGTAGCCATACAGCAATAATAGGATGAAGTGATAATGTGAAGAACTGTGTAGGTTGGGTTTAGTTTATATTAGGACTGATCCTTGTTATCAAATTAGGTATGTTGTGAGAGTTCTTATAAATGGTCTTTATAGGGTTTTCTCTGCTCTCAGTAGAGGTCTTACTTGTGATATCTAGTCATAAACCCCCTAACATAAACCCCCCTGGACAATAAATTGCTGTGAGGTTTATATTTTAATATTGGGAAGTACTAATAGTGAAGAGAATCTAAAGTCATAGTTAAAAACAAAAATTATGAATTAATAGTTATAATTAATTGAAATTTTTTAAAAGTGATTATGAGAAAATACTCAAATATAGTGTGCTCATTAAAAGTTTGAACTTAGGTATTGTCTGTATCTGCTCTATGATCAAATACAACTTAGGTTACCCCTTGACTGCCAGATAGCATTCTTTACTTTTAGGTAGAAACTTTTTTTGCAGATTTTTTAATTTAAATAAGTTTAATTGAATATTAAGTTGAATATCAAATATATACCTTTTAATTAATTAAAACTGTTGTGGGGGGGGGGGGGGGGGGGTGGGGGGTTATGTTGTATTGACTTGGAGTCCTTCCTTATTTATTACTTTCATGCATTGGAAAAAGAAATTCATCACAGGCTTGTTTCTTAATCAAGGTTGTAATAAAGCGTAGCACTTGCCAGATAAATGCAGCTAACCCATCCTATTTCTGGGTTCCATACAACTTTCTGGGACATCCTAATCTTCATTTCTCTCACACTTTAAGAACAGATATTTCTAGTAGAGTGTGTATTGTTTTTTTGTTGTTTTTTTTTACAATCAGTTCCTCACAAAATTTAGTTTTGTCAGGTTGATGTATTCCCTTGTTTGTCTACAGAAATGGAGCTTATACCAGGTGCCAGAGGCTATAGGATCAGCAACACACCAGGGTTTTTGTGTGCGCCTTTGAAAGCCAGTTTTGAGGTGAATAATTTTATGTGGAAACTATTAGTACTTTTAAAATAAATAAATGCAAAAACCATTATAATAATAAGCATTCAATTGTTTTGAAAAAAAATAAAATACAACTAAGTTAAAGAATAAACCCATGATCTTGTACAGTTTTGCTTGTACAGTTTTTGATCAGTACCTAACTTATGTTAGGGAAAACAAAGGCAGCTGGGCATAATGATGATCACACTATCCTTTCATATACCAAGGTCTCTGAAACAGATTAACTCTACTTCATCTGCCCCTTGTTTCTCGGGCATGATCAGGAAAAAGTATTAATTTCATTAAATTGTGACTAGATTCCAATAAACATTCTGAATTAGTGCTAAGCCTATTTTCACAGAAAATGAAGTTTCATAATTTATTTTAGCCTAAAGCCATAACAAAATTAGAACAGCTATTGAATTAAATTGAGAATAAATTCAATTAACTATTCTTTATCAATTCCTAAGCTAGCTTCACATAAAAAAAATGTTTCGTAATTTAATTTAACCTGAAGCCATAACTAAATTAGAACAGCTATTGAATTGAATTTGAGTAGGTTCAAATAACTATTATTCATCTATGCATAAACTAGCTTCACAAAAAAATGTTTCATAATTTAAATTAACCTCAAGCCACAACTAAATTGGAACAGCTGGCGAGTTAATTGGAGAATAGATTCTAATCAACATTCTACAGCTATGCTAAAACTAGCTTCACAAAACAATATTTCGTAATTTAGAACAGCTTTTGAATTAAATTGAGAATGGATTTTAATCAACATTCTACAGCTATGCTAAAACTAGCTTCACAAAACAATATTTCGTAATTTAGAACAGCTTTTGAATTAAATTGAGAATGGATTTTAATCAACATTCTACAGCTATGTTAAAGCTAGCTTCACGAAAAAAATGTTTAGTAATTTAATTTAACCTGAAGCTAAAACTATATTAGAACAGCTATTTTATTAAATTGTGATTACATTCTAATGAACATTCTATAGCTATGCTAAAGCTAGCTTCACAAAATAATGTTTAGTAATTTAATTTAACCTGAAGCCATAACTAAATTAGAACAGCTATTGAATTAAATTTGAATAGATTAAAATAACCATTCTTCATCAATTGTTAAGCTAGTTTCACAAAAAATGTTTTATAATTTAATTTAACCTAAAGCCACATCTAAATTAGAACAGCTATTGAATTAATTGGAGAATAGATTCTAATCAACATTCTACAACTATGCTAAAGCTAGCTTCACAAAAAAATGTTTCATAATTTCATTTAACCTGAAGGCATAACTAAATTAGATAAGCTATTTTATTAAATTGTGATTACATTCTAATGAACATTCTATAGCTATGCTAAAGCTAGCTTCACAAAATAATGTTTTATAATTTAATTTAACCTAAAGCCACAACTAAATTGGAACAGCTATTGAATTGACCTGAGAATAGATTCTAATCAACATTCTACAGCTATGCTTAAACTAGCTTCACAAAATAATGTTTTTTAATGAACAGCTTTTTTTTAAAAATTGTCATTAGATTCTAATAAACGTCCTGCATCTATGCTAAAGCTGAGTGACTTTTCCCCCAGGTTTTTAAGAAAACAAGTGTAGAGGACCTTAGAAAAAAGTCCCTCCTACTGACCAGCTACCTGGAGTTTTTGGTCCTCCACTACTACAGGCGGCCTGCGGGGGACACACCTGATGGGGACAACATTTACATTGATATCTTCACACCTGCCGACCCCCAGCAGAGGGGGGCACAACTCTCACTGGCGTTTAATGTCTGCATAGAGCAGTTGTTTAAGGAGCTGGAGAGGAGGGGGGTGGTGGTCAGTTGTTTTTTTTTTGTTTATGGTTGATGTCACATGTGATGTTCGTTGGTGATGTGTTGGTGAGATGTGGAGAAAGGGGGCGGGGGTGGTCAGTTGTTTTTTCTCTTTTTTTTGGTGTTGATGGCTCATGATGTGATGCTTAGTGATGTGTTGTGGTATGTGGAGAAGATATGTACTTAATTGTTTTTTTTTGTGTGGTGATAATGTCACATATGATGTTGGTTGGTGATGTTGTGAGATGTCAGAAAGGGGGAGGGGAGTGTGTTCATTTTTTAAAAAGGTCACATGAGGTATTTGTTGGGAATTGGTATTAGTTTGTGATGTTTTGGTGAGATGTGGAGATAAGAGGGGTGGTGGTGAGTTTTTATTTTTTTATTTTTTTGGTCGTTTGTTGACAATGTCACATTAAATGATGGTTGATCATTGGTATTGGTTGGTGATGTGTTTGTGAGATGAGGAGACAAGTGGGTGATGTCGAGTTGTTTTTCTTTGATATTTTTTTTTATAATGTTACATGACATGTTGGCTAGTGATTGGTAATGGTTTTTGATGTGTTGGTGAAATGTGGCTAGTGGTTTGTACTAGGTATTCTAAATGAGCCGAAAAAAACGTACTGCGCGCAAAAAAATTTGGTCGGGTTGCGCCAAAGCTCGGAGATCCGATACCATAATACATACGATTACACTAAAAACTAATATAGAAAGTAGAATGGACGCCCTTTAAGATGATATGACTTTGCCCGCTGTAAAATATAATTTAATGCTAAAAATAATAGATTTAAAAGTTTCAAATGATTTTTTTACACGAAAAAAATATTTTACAGCCGGCAAAATTATATATTCAGATCGGGCGTCCAATTTACTATAAAAATGTTATAATTTAATTAACACTTAATGTATGGTATCGGATCGCAGAAATAAAAACGAACGCATACGTATCGTGATGACCCGCGCTAACTTTTGCCGGCTTAAATCTAGTTTTGCGTAATGTCACGGAACACCCGGCTCAAGTTCAAAGCAGGATTTTGTGTATATTCGCGGATTACCATGGATTTTAAACAATGTCTAGGTAAGTTAAGTGCTTTATAAATTATTAGCTATATTCATTTTATTTATAATAAACTGCTGCTTTAAACCATTTGCATTTTAGTGTCCACTTATCGGTAATTGCTACACGCTTAAAAAAACATTTACCAAAAAATTATCTAGACCTTTTTAAAAGTTCTTTGTATTTAATTTACGATTGCCAAAATAAAAAAGGAATGCACAATTAAATCAAAAAGATGTTTAAAAGAGTGATAGAATTTAATTTGTATTCATGAATTTTATTAATTACTAACATCGACCGATTAAACTATCAATATATTGTCGATATTTCAAGCCGCTTGTCGGCCATTTTTTTTTTTTGCCTTCTCGTAATGTTGGATTCAACTATTATATTACGCAGGGTTAACAGCATACTTTCAATTTATTGTAGCATTGTTTATTTTGTTTTTCCTAGTTTAATAGTTAACTATTCTATATAATTGCAGTAATTACATTAAATTTTAGAATACTACGATCGTTAATGTTTCTTATCTCTAGGTTTATTGAACTGACAACATTAAAATAAAATGTAGCCCCCCCTTCCATAATAGTTTAACCCAAAATTGTTTCTAGATTCTAGATCTACTTAGATTCACTATTGCTTTCATGTTAATATTTAGTAGTAGAACTATCTAAAGTGTTTACATTTAATATCTAAAAAAGCATTGAGCAGCCTTACTTTTAAAATTATTCTATTTACAGAGCAAGATATTAGCAAAAGAAAGGGGAAACTGAAAGGCCTGTCAAAAATGTGTATTGTTTGTGTAAGCACCAACAGGACTACTGAATACTTTTGAAGGAAACCATATGTCAGATGTTAGTATTTTCTTCACTTTGCTTATTAGTTATAATGATGTAATGTTACATGATTGATATCTAAGTAGGTATAAAGATATACAGACCTACTATATAAGTCAGTATATTGGAAATGCTAATTAATTGTTTTTATTCACAGACATTATCTATACTCTGGACCAATGGAAAGATCCCTTACTAGATTCCATAATTTGATGTGTGCTGCCAGTTCACAATCATTTATTACAATGCCACTCCAAACCTTGAACTTGAAGAAGAAGACAAACTCAACCAAGATATTGACTATTAATTACAATGCTACCCAAACTCATAGAGAACTTTCCCAATCAGGATATTGACCTGTCTTTTTGAACCTGCTCTAAGATTTCTGATAATTGTATAAGTTAGGACCTAGACATTTCCAGAAGTTGACATTGATCAATAACTAACTAGAAGAAATACATTTACTGATAACAAGTAAATTTAGGCTAAGCATGTCATGATTAGGGAGCAGAGTAACAAAACTAGATGAACATCACAAAGCTAACAGTTAGGATCATTTATAAAGAATTTTAGTTTAATTAGTTATCTTACTTCATCAGTGTTTAAAAGGCATGACATTTCTTCTTAGTAAGTATATAAGTAAAGTAATAGTATAGTTATTTAATTTTTTATAACAAAGTAATGCTAACATGTTTCATACACAATTTATATTACTTTCTTAAAAGTAAGGACACTTTTTGCAAGATGTTAGGTAATGAAAATTCTTGATTTTGGGCGTTAAGGAAGGATGCCTTGTATTGTTTTGCAGAATGATTATTTTATGTCTCTGTGTTTATTATATATTAAGAACATCATGTGCTTTAAGTTGGTGTAAAATTTATTAAGATACCTTACTTAAATATTTTTAAATAATTTTTTGAAAAAGGATGAAATTTCTAATTTTTATAAACTGACCTTGCTGAATCTGGTCTCGCTAATTATTTTCTTTATTAATTCTTTACCTGCTTATTTTATATTAACATGGTTTGAATTTCCTTTCTTAGAACATTTATATTATTAATGTGGCTTAATTAGTTGATTTTCTATGATTTTTTAAAAATGACTGTAAATTAACTTTTTGTCTCCCTTGTCGTACTTCGGTAAAATTGTGCTTTGGCTCATTTTTATGTGAATAAATTTTCTATTTATATCTGTCTGACTACCTTAAAAAAAAATTGGGTTTGCTATTTGTATTACTGGCTGTGTGTGCAAGAAATTTGAGAGTTCTAACTTAGTTATTGTAGAAGTTAGTAGGGGTCTCAAATAGACCCTTTACTATTCAAAAAGCGAACGCATTTTTTGAGTTTTAAAAAATTCATAACTTTTTTAAAAATGGACATACATCAATAAATTTGGTGTTTCTGTTCTGATGAAAACAGTCTCTATCAGGTGGAAGTGTTAAATTTTATTAAACTTCATTATAAAAATTTCATTTTGAATACCTATTTGTACCTTCATGTTTAATTGGTTTATGATGTATTTATTTGTTATTAGTTGGTGTTGTTGTTGTGATGTGTAGTTGATTCTAAGCATATAGAAGACGTGTGGTTTTTTTTATTGTGTAAGTAATTGTTCATGATGTGTTGACTAGTGATGTGATCTTGATTTTAGCTGAAGATATGTTCATGTTGTTTTTGTTTTCAATGTGTTGCTGATGTGTGTTAGGTTGATGATGTGAGTCTGGTTGCTATGTATTTTTTGCCAGATACCTAAGTTTGCTAATAAGTAACTTGTGCAAAGTATCTTTTATAAATTACTCTCAGTGCAGTATAAAAATCCATAAATTAACAGTTAAGATAATTTAACTAGTTTCCTCTATTAGCAATAGTTTCTCTTCTTGACAATTCTCTCTTTAATCATTTTCATTAAATATTCATTTCAGTTAAATCTAAATATATACATCCATATACACAGTTTATCTAAAAAATCTTTCTAAACAATTTTTTATTTGTAATTAAGTAGTCATAAGATCAAATAATAATTATTCTTAATCTCGTTAATGTTATTCCTATTTTATAATGAATTAACATTTTTTCTTCTAGTGCGACAAGCGTCTTCCACGTGTCATCCGCATCACCCCAGTCCCCATGTACTGCAGCTTCGAAGACGTCCACCGCTTTATGGCCCTACTCAAAGATGCCCTCCTGGCAGCCAAGGGATCCCTGTCCCACGTTGACCAGACCACAGTCTAACGCCAGCTGTCTGGACTGTCAGAACTCTGTTATCATTGTTCCAAGTAGACATAGATATCAGTTGTATTTGTCTAAATTATATCTCATAGTTTATTGAAAGTTATTTAAACTACTAATTAAATCTCAAACTTTAGCAACATTTATTGATTTAATTCACTTTATCTATATAATATATCAAACTTTAATGACAGTTATTAAAATAACTAACTAAATCTCAAACTTAAGTTAAAATTTTTTTAATTTACTAACTTTATCTATATTATATCTCAAAGTTCACTGAAAGTTATATAAACAACTAATTAAATCTCTAACTTTAGTAAAATTTATAATTAACTTACTGTATCAATATAATATCTCAAAGTTTACTGAAAGTTATATAAACCATGAATTAAATCTCTAACTGTGGTAAAAGTTATTTATTTAATTAACTTTATCTATAAAATATCTCAAAGATTACTGTAAGTTTTTTTACACAACTAATTAAATCTCAAACTTTAGTAAAATTTACAATTAACTTACTTTATCTATATAATGTCTTAACTTACTTTATCTGTATAATGTCTCAAAGTTTACTGAAAGTTGTTTAAACAGCTAATTAAATCTCAACCTTTATTAAAATTTATAATTAACTCACTTTAATCTACATTACTCAAAGTTTACTGAAAGTTATTTAATAAGCTCTACATTCAATCTCAAACTTTATAATTTATTATTTAAAGATATACATTATATCTCAAGCTTAATAAAATGAATTTAAAGAACTCACTTTATATACATTAAATCTCAAAGCTTTCTACAACCTATTTAAATAACTCCACATATATTATTAAATTTTACCACATTATTTTAAAGAAAATCAACTCTGAAATATTTAATATAAGTTGTTGAAAAACTCTGCTTTGTTTGAGACATCAAAAGATAAGAAAGGTGTCTCTATAATTTAAGGGGATATGCTATGTTTTTTTCTATTTTTTTCAGTTTAAGATTTAGAGCCTTTTGAATACTTTTATCATATTTGGCATATAAAAGTAAGTATTAAACAGCAAAAAAACGGGTCGAAAACAATTTTGGTTGTCATGGAAACCCAAAAAACCTCCGCCATTTTGAATTTTTCGGTACTTTTAAAAATACTAAGGCTTTTTTATTTATGCACCTATAGCAATCAAATTTAAACTGCTTATATTTCAGTATATATTAAAACTTTTGTCACGACAACTATTTGAAATAATTACTAGTAAAAATTTTACAATGTCTAAAAAAATCTTACCCTTTTTAGTATTCAAAAGTTTCAAAATGTGCATATTAATTACCAAATAATTTTTTTCTATGAAAGCAATCACAATTCCCTCGTGACAGAAGTTGTATTTTTGCATCAAGAACATTTACTGAAAATATGGTTGGCATTGTTTAATAAATAAAAAAGTAGTAGGCTTTTTAGTGTTAAAAACCTGCGAACTGAGAAAAACCGCCAAAAGTAACGAAAACTAGGTCAGGAAAGTACCATATCTGTGTAAACTGCATAGCCGATTGTAAGCGTTGGGTGTTTCCGAGATGTAGGAAATTAAGTTTATTAAATACATGAGAAATCCAGCTTTCCAATGATGTCAAAAACAATATAATGACGGATATAAAACTTTTCATAGAGAGCTTGTAAGATTGGGAAAAAATGATTATTTTTTAATTAATAGGGTCATACAAATCGTAATTCAAACACATAAAATATTTTTTTCTCTTTTAAGTTATTATTTTCTTTATACAAAAATGGACAAAGTATCCAAAAGTGCAAGAAACCCATCATGACGGAAAACAAGAAATTTTGTGATTTTTTTCCGCGCATATCCCCTTAATTACTGTAGAAATATCATAATATGTTAATAAGAAAGTGTAGAAAGTTATTGAATTAAAGCTAATGTACTTTCTGCAATTTAATTTCAGCTTAAAATATTACTTACAAAAAGTTTATTAAAGTCAGTTTATACGAAATAAAAAACATTCCTTCTCATTTATTCCCCTTTAACACACAAGGTATTGTCTATTCAAAGCACGGTGTTAAGAATATGAATTGATACAATATAGTTGATGTTATCAATTTCAATTTTATTTTATTCTGTTGTAAGTATTTACTTAACCTAGTCAAAAAATATTTTGTACAATTTGAACTGCAGTTACTTATGTCAATCAATTGTAAGACTGTCTGAAGTTGAACATGTTCTTATTACTCCACAATAATTTTTTCAAATATTTTTTTTTGAGTCAGAAGAGATTGATGTGTATTTTATTGAATTTACATTAAATTTACTTTTTCCTTCAGATGAATTATTATACACAGCATTTGAAGACATTTAGTGATGTTAGTGATTTATGCCCAATGTTTTCTAAATTCTAATGCTTGTTTTCAGTCGTATGTCTTTGTTTTACAAGATGATATTTTAGATTTTATTAGCATTTGTGATGCAAGCTGTCAGTATTCTTGCCATGAAGATGCATTATATGGAAACATTGTCATCGTTTTATGTTATGTGTATTAGTAGTGTTATATGGTGAGGTATGGTATGTAACTGTCAGAGTTAATCTCAGGCATGTCTGGGGAGGTGAGGGGGTGGGGTTAACGGACCCCCCCCCATGGGTCTTTTCTAGTGTCCCACCAGTGTTTCTTCCAGACTTTTTTCTCCGGGGGGGGGGGCACTTGAAATTTTCGGGGGGGGGGGGGGGCGGACACTGTTAAAAGTATATATTTTCTATATAAATTATATAAATTTTATTTCGTTCGGGGGGGGGCGGTAAAAATTTTTTGGGGGGGCAGAGATGCCTGGAAGAAACTCTGTGTCCCACCTGGATGAAGTGGAAAAAGAGTATTGAATTCAAATGGACAATATATATACACATATATATATATATATATATATATATATATAAAGATTTCTCCCCCCCCCCCCCCACCCCGGAGTAAAAATGACTGAAAGAAACTCAGAGATATTATAAAAGTATAATTAAAAAATGATTCAGTTCACTATTAATTGCTCACAGAATTAAAAATGGCTACTTTTTTTAAGCAAAGAACTAAGCATCACATGGCATTGTCATGTTGGCTCCAGAAGTTTAGAGGAGGGAATTGGGGGAGTGGGGGGGTGAGGTTGATAATTTCAGTTGCAGCACTAAGTCACACCCATTTCATAACACAAATGGTGTATGGACCTATCTGATGCAGCAGTTTGTATCAATGTGCCTGAATGTAGGAGTCTTCTTGCAATAAAGATTTAGGTCTATTGTATAGACATTGTTTAGAATTATGAGCTTGGTGTATTTGAATGAAATAAGTTGTTAGTTTTCATGAATAATGTCTGATGTATGGGTTCATCATTTTAGCCATAATGCTAAAAACATTTTTTAGATGTATTTGTCAAGCTAGATTTATTATTTTGTTTACATATAAAGCAATATCTAGTCTGTTAGCTTTTAGATTACTTAAACTATATTCAGTTTCTTTAGTCTTCAGCCAATATTTGGACCCCTCACCTTGTGACCTTTATAGCAGCTGAACCAATATGTTGACCACATACCTTGTGACCTTCATAGAAGCTGAATCAATAGTTTGACCCCTTTCCTTGTGACCTTTATAGCAACTGAACCAATATGTTGACCCTTAACCTTATGACCTCTGCAGCTGAACCAATATTTTCTTTTCTAGTACTAGTGCAACAATCCTACAATTTTCCAGATGTCTTCCCCACCAACAAAAAATTAAGCCTGATCATCCTTCTCCTAATTGTAGGCATATACTTCTACAATGCTGTTTCTTTCAAAATGTATAAATCAATGTTTAAAAAGTTTATTACATTTTTTTTAACTATGACGTGTTAATGAAATATAGCGTACTGGCAGACCTCTGTTGTCTGAGAGCTTATAAGTTTTAATTTACATGCATTTCATTACTTAATTGGCAAGTATTTTGTTGCGGTTGTCTGTTTAAAATGCTGCATTTGTTGTGGAATAAACCTGGTGCATAGGTTGTTAATTTTAATGCTAAATTTTTAAAGTTCAAAGTATTCACTTTTTTTTGGTTAACATTGTTTCATTATTCTCAAATATAAAACGGTTGAGTTGATTTTCTTTAACTGTAAATGATACATGAAAATTGTCAAATGTTGTAATATCATACCTGGATCTTGTTCAAAATACTTAATCTTTCATAATCTTCAAGTTTGGGAATACCTTCATATATCTTACTTTGTGATTGTACTTTTAATTTCTTTTAAAAAAAGTGCTTTATTTAATCAGATAATTTTATTGTGATGTTTCTATGATATTAGGACACAGTTGGTTTACTTGAGCTCTAATTTGGCAACTCAGCTTTTTCAAGTACCCAACATGTTGTCTCATGTATTGTTATTTTTAACTTTGTAAAAATTGACAGAATAATCAACATTTTATGGCCTTAATTAAAACTGTCAATGGATTGCAAATTTTAATAAGCTTGGTATTTTCCTGTTAGGATTGACAAAGAAAAACAACCCGGCTTTAAACTTGGTTTATTTTAAACCTGTACTTTATTACTGCTACTGTTCCATAACCCTCCTGTCCATCCAAAGCCCTAAACCTAGTCCTAAACCCAACAACAAAGCATATTTTTTCTATTAATTTTGGTATAGGGGGCAGGTAGAAAAAAACTATTGCAATTCCAGAACTTTCTCTTAATACGTTTTTATCATCATTGCATATAAAAAACAGCCTCAACTCAGTTTGTTTCACCAATCATTTTTAGGCATGTATATGTGGTGGTGGTTGTTCACTGACGTCCAAAGACACCCCCCCCCCCCCCAGACAAAATAGGATGTTATTATAATTTATATTGAAAATATAAACTTTAACCAGTGTCGACCACCCCCACCTTTCCTGAAGATTTCAGTGCCTTTTTACTTTCTCGTATATACGAAGTATAGAGAAAGTCTTGTAATCGTGCAAAAAAAAAATCGAGATTTGTAAAAGTCTCGACGTTTTACACCTCACTGATACGGAAAAACATAATTTTGCAATCTTGTCCGTATGTCTGTGTGTAAAATCGGTAACTTGAGTACCGTTACAGCTAGGTTGATGAAATTTCATTTATAAGTATTTTATCAAAATCGTAGATCCTTATCAACTTTTGAGCGATTTCCGATAACCGGAAGTGGTACTTTTTCTACTTTGAATTTTTCAAAAGCCTATAATTTGAGTACTATTTCAGATAGATAAATGAAATTTCACATGTAAGTAAAAGATCTAATTCTCTACCTTCTCTCAAATTTTGAGTAATTTCCGTTGATCGGAAGTACTAATTTACGCTATTTCCGATTTCTCAAAAAACGCATGTAAATTTATGAAGTACTAATAATATTGCGCACTATTATGCACATTTTGTTTTGGCGTTCGCTTGGTGCGCAATTCTTTTTTCTATGAGATTCTATTCTATTTTTAAAAGTTTAAGTAATTAAAAATCATGTCTATATTCCAAGTTATATACGAATATTCGAGAAAGTTTTGGGGAGAACACTCCCGGTTTATTTTTAATTTTTTTTTAAACCAACTTATGTATGTGGGTTATTTTTAGTGAGTGACGAAGATAAGGGAGGCCACCCTACACTTTCGTCACTTAATTTCTTTTATAAACGTACATGGTGGTCGGTTCTGAGTTGAAGGTCTACTTATAAAGCAACGGGACTTCCCGGTGGCTTGTTGATTGTATGCAGGGATCACATTTGCCTTTTAGAGCTGAGTTGATAACAATCATCTTATACAATAAACTGCGGATGCATTGCCCGTTCGTTGTTTTTCTTAGTGTATATTTAGAACAATGGTGGGAACTGACTTTGAGAAATAATTGTTCTTAACTATTTAGTCTTGTCTTTTTCTGTATCTCTCTCTCTGTATATATATATATATATATATATATATATATATATATATATATATATATATATATATATATGTGTGTATATATATATAAAATATGTTATTATATATATATATATAATACATATATCGTATATATAATACATACATATATATAACCATAGATGTATATGGTGCATGTATCTATATATAAAATTCTCTTCTTGGAGATGATAGAAAACAAGCTGTAAGCTCGCTCCTTACCACCCCTACATGGTCTGGTGAGCTTTAGTTCACGCTAAATATTTACATAACAATCGTAGAGCCGGGTTTAGTGACGACTATTAGGGGCAGATAATTAGTTTGAAACGATTTTAAACTAGGGGAGGTAACTAAGACGAGTTTACTTTCACGGTGGGGGGTTGGGGAAAGGAGCGGGGTTATCGTCCTTAACGAGCTACTGATTGCGTTTTAAAGCAAATATTTTCAGTGGAAGCGTTGGTACTGTCGAATTCACACATTATGAATTACTGAAAAGTTGAAAATAAAACAACTAAATAGCGGCGTATAATACGCCGCGCGGGTCGGCTCGTATTTTATAAATAGCCTCTTATAAATGCTTTATAGCTCTGTACATATACAACTTTTAAATATAGTTAATTTAAAGTGCGGATACAGTCACATAAGTGCATGGGAAATTCCATGTTATCTCGCCCTCTATATAAGGCTAATCATATGAACATATTAGTAAAATAATATAAATGCATGGGCACTTAACTGTCAACTCATAACGTATATTTATAATTGTTGGTGGCCGTGTTGTCGTGGGCCCTAACTTTCAGATACCTGCGGGGCCCCTTCGTAATGTGCATTTTTTTAAAACGGTATTTTTAGTTTTAATAGAGCAAAATTAGCTATAAAAACATAAGACGAGACACTCTTCTCTTAAATATACAGATAGCCAAAAATTAAAACCAATGTACTCTTGTATTGAATAAAAAATAATGTTTAATATTTTCAGTGCATGTATGGACAAGAAAAAAAATATTCTAATCAAAATTATTATAAATAAAAAAAAAAAAGAAACGCCGTAAAATTGAAGGGAAAGGGAAAATGTCCCAGTTATAATATATATTCAAAAAATATTATAAAAGAAACTTGTATTACAACACATGCATATACATGACCCACTCGAAACTCACTGTCATTCATTACGAGTTAGATTTTGAAAAATCTAACTCCAAAATTTCGTGTGGATAAAGGTAATTAAAAAATAATAATTAAATATTGCCCAGTTTATTGAATAAATAGTGATTTAAGATTGAGTGATTTAAAAAAAAAAAGTTTTTAAAGTGTGTAAGAGTCAAGGAACCACAACTCCGCTAGGGGAGGTAAACGTAGGAAGAAAAGATGAAGGAATGGTGGGTTGTCGTCGTTGCCATGACAACATCACATGTTGGACACGACGTATTTGGCGAATTCTGAAAAAAAAGGTTTTGAATTAAGGTGTCTAGAATTTGCAAATAATCATATAGGGCCTACATATTAAATTACGCGGTCGGGTTTGTAAAGCGCTTGACGTCTAACACGAATGTCTCGAGTTCAGATCTTAGACTCTTGTGTAGCCGTAAGCCTAAACAACATTGGAATTAACTTAGAAGTATTTATGACGTCACTAAGTCCACCCTGCTGACAGGCTTATCTCTAACTTGACCTGTTTTTTTAAAGAAGATATCAGTAAAGTTATCACTTGATATAGTGGTAAGAAGTTGTGTAGTGATCGCCTTTGAATAAAATTATCAGCGAACCCATATAAATAATTATAAAAAAATGAAAGGCTAAAGAACAAGGTAATTTTTTTTAACAATGCTAACCAATAAATATTCCATAAATGGTGTAAACAACACTCCTCCTGTCTTGACCTCCGCCGAACCCCTAAGACTGACTCACTGAACCCATAGGGTTCGATCGAACCCAGTTTAAGAACCACTGCTCTAAATATATCTGGGTTTTTTTTAAGTGTTGCAATTTGTATCATACATATTTTAAAAAGCAATAATATGCATTTTAAGTTAGCCCAGGTAAAATTAGCAACAGAGCGTTACTGCTAAACCCGACAATGGGCGTAGTGCTCACAACTCTATTCTTTTATATGCCGAGTTCACAGAAACAGGTGAACTCTACTTCACTTGCCCCATGTGCCGTCTGGTTCGGTAAAGGAACAAAGTAAAATTTTTACTAAGTAAAATCTAGAATAAATTTGGCTGGAGGTAAGCACTATGATTAGTTAATAAGATAATCTGCAAAGGTAACTACACCATGAAGCTATCAACACGACTAACAAGCTTATTTCGACCAACAATAGAGGAAATACGCAACGTGATTATATCCCCACACCTTGTCAATGACATTAATACTGGGCTTAAATTCTCTCACTGCTGAGAGGATGTAAACACCTAGCGTATTTCTTCTATTGTTGACCGAAATAAGCACGTCCAACACACTAGCAACCATACGTCTAACAATCAACAACAAAAGTAGAAACTTCCGGTTGTACCTTCGTAACTGATGACACCGTCGCCATCTTTGTCCACGCCCCTCATGAAGTCCGCCACCTCAGCGTCGGTCAAGTTCTGTCCCATCTTAGCCACGGCTAGCCGGAATTCTCTGGCTGGAAACGGACAAAAATGTGTATTAACATTTCATAGATGGATTCAACAAAAATGTGTAGTAACATTTCATGGAAGCAACAAAAATGTGTATTGAAATTTAATGGCTGAAAAAAATGTGTACATTTCATGGCAGAAGCGATAAAAATGTGTATAATTGATGGTTGGATGCGACAAAAATGTGTATTGACACTGATGACTTTAAACAACGAAATGGGTGCTCATATTTCATGGCTTTAGACATCAAAATATGTATTAACATTTCATGGCTTTTAACAAAAATGTGTATTTACAATTCATAGCTGGAGACCAAAATGTGTATTAATAGTTTATGGCTGGAAGCGATGCAAATGTGCATTAACAATTCATTCCTTGAAGAGTCAAAAATATGTATTCACAATTTTAGTCTGAAGCAATAAAATCGTGTATTAAAGGTTCTATTGGTTGTAAAGGAGAAAATGTGTATTAACAATTCAAGGGGAAAAACATAACTGTATAATTAACAATTCCCTGGAATGAAGGACATAATTATAAGCATTAACTTTACGTGGCTAAATATATATAGTTTTTAATAAATACCAACAATTCTAAAAGAAAATGAATATTAACAATCCTTTTGCAAAAAGCATTAAGAAAATGTGTATGTGCCAATACTCCGGCAAGGATCGACAGGAAATGTGTATTAACAATTCATGACAGCAACGCCCCATCTTCCTTATGTTCATCAACATTTGATAACAAAAGCGTCACACAATCGCCGGCTCGCCTAAAATGCTTCAGATCTAATGCTACATTTTTCTCAGCTGAGACGAGAGGTAGGGTTTTCAGAGAAAAAAATAAACAGCGAGTACAAAAATTGTTTCGCGTTTTTAGTGTTTAAATAACGGACACTTACGAATTAATTACAACGTTTAAATATTTTTTTGGAACAATAAGTTCTATTAATATGTTAGACAACTTAAAATGCTGTCCGGGTATTTGTCAGTAAGAAAATTATTACTAGTTTTGATATCGAAAAAGGAAGAATTTTTTTAAAGACCTTGCTGTGAGGCGTAGGGTAAGAAATAAAAATATGGGGAGGGGGAGTAGTCCAATAACAGATTTCTGGAGCCGCTCTTGTATGCCTTACTTCTGATACTTCTCCAGTTTCCTTGGACTAGTTTTGTAGAATAGGGTATTATTGGACTAGTTTTCTTGATTATGGTTATCTTGGTCGAGGTATGAGGATTAGGGAATTTTTGTGGAGATTTGTGGATTAGGATATTCTTGGGCTAGTTTTGTGAAATATGGTATTTTCGGATTTTTTTGTAGATTCAAGTATTCTTGGAAAATTAGTATGGCTTTAAGTATTGTTGCACTAGTTGTGCGGATTATGGTATTCTTGCACTAGTTTTTCGGATTATGGTATTATTAGACTAGTTATATTTGAATGTATTTTGCGGATTAACGTAATATTGAACACGTTTTCAACGATAAGTGTGTCCTAGGTCGGATACAATTGAATTGTCATGCAGATTCGCGTTTTACCGCAAAACAGATGTATACAAAATTACCTACCGGAAATAACACCGTCGCCATTTTGATCAAACGACCTGAAGGTTTCCCTGACCTCTTTGTCAATGCCTTGTTTGGCGTTGTATTCGTTGGCAATCAGGGGAAGGAACTCGGGAAATTCGATGTAACCGCTGCCTGTGAGGGGAGATAATCACGATCATCAATCAAATTATGCAAAAAACAACGGTGTTAGAAACGTTAGCAAGATATATACAAAACATTGACGAAATCCAGATTGTTTTAAACAAGTAACTCTTTTACTTGTATGCGAATTTTAAAACTATGTTTTTACGTTTCTTTCAAGCAGAGGCGTAGCGACCCTTCCCGTCGCCCGGAGACAAACTTTTCGAGTTGCACCCCCCTCAAGATTTTGATTTGCACCCTCCTCAAACTTTCGATTTGCACCCCCATCAAGATTTCGATTTGCACCCCCCCCCCCCCTCAAACTTTCGATTTGAACCCCCTCCCCCCTCAAGATTTCGATTTGCACCCTCCCCCCTAAAACTTTCAATTTGCACCCCCTCAACCTTACAATTTATTTTTCCAACCCATTTTGGCGCCCCCTAAGGTCGGCGCCCGGGGACATATGTACCCCCCCCCCCCCCCCCCCCCCCCCCCCCTTTCGCTACGCTACTGCTTTCAAGGTACTTGTTTAACAAATAAAGCTATTAAAATTAATTGTCCTTATAATTATAGATGTTTGTGTATATTATGACGATAAGGGTTGTAGATGTAAAACCAGATGAAATTGGTTGACAGTTTTAGACTAACCATCTGTTATTCAAATCGTCTAATCTAACAAAGCACAAACCGAATCAGCAATGAATATCAGTTCTACAAACAAAACTATTTAACCCGCCGTTTACAACCAGATATTAATTATTAGTTATCCACCTGTTCTATTTCAAATTAACTGTAAAATAGCTAAACGGCAAAGTCTAGTATGAATATTTTAGAGATAAAAATAATGCATGTCAAATGGAACACGTTGGATGAAGGATAAAAGCTAAACTTAGAAAAAAATATTTTTGAAAGAATGATTTGAATATTAAATTAGCGTTCGACTGCCAGTCGAAAGTTAGGTACCCAGTTCTGATTGGTGCATAGCTCATGTTACAGAAAGTAAAAGCGGCTGGGCATATTGCTGACAACACAATACCTTCATATGCCGAGTTCACTGAAATAGGTGAACTCTATTTCATCTGCACACGTGGACTATAAGGTTTAAAATGGTACTTTTATTCATGTTAAATTTAATGAAAGATTTTGTGGCTATATGCGGCTTTGCAACTCCATAATTATGATCCTCAATATTTCTTAAAATGTGGCTTAAGTACAACATCAATATAGTATCAACATGATATCAACTTGGTTTCAGTTGGGTATCAACAAACATGAAGGATACATTAGAATAATATCCTTATATCAACATGAGATCAACGTGACCTAAATATGAAATTAATATTACACCTCAATGACATAAGTTAAAAGTAAAACATCCTCCTTAGATCTAGAAATCTATTCGGCAGATGAATTAGGTTCCATATGTTTATTGACCTCGACAATGAAGTTATGTTGAGCGGAGTGCTATGCCCAGCCGCCTTTACTATCCCCACTGTAAGGCAGGTAAGGCTGGGTTGACTCCGGGGCATCCTGCAGTCACTAGTCTGAACAGAGATCCAAACTCGATACCTCCGGGATAGCACCCGAACGCTTTACCATTCGACTACGCCGTCATGACATAAACAGTATTTTATTATCAAAAGACATCAACAAGCCATTTCTGCACTGAAACTTCTGACTCTCCCCATAAAACTTGCAACCTCCCCGCTTCACTCATCTCGACCTTTCCATCCAACGACCTTGACATCACCCTATGTGTAAATGATGTAAAGTTCCGGAAGATAATGGCCAACAGCTGACAAACGGGCTAAATATTTCAGCGATGCTCGCCAAGGAAATCAAATTTGGCCCCGGCTAGGCCGCTCTCCACTTTAAGGAGATATGAACACACGAATAATAAAAGGGAAACAAACACGAACTTGGCTGTTACCAGAGAAACAATTATTGCGCTGAACCATCCCACACCTTGGGACTGCGAACGTCTGGTAAATTCCTCGTGTCGTCTGCTAGATTATTTTTTTTAAAACTCCCGTGCTTTGTGTTGAAGGATATAAATACATTATTTAGGAAGTAATTATGCGCTTGATTGTAATTGCGATAATTATTATATACAATTCACGAGAGCATTGTGAGAAAGGTAAAATATTAAATATCGTGTTACCAGTGTTTCTTCCAGAATTGTTTCTTCGAGGGAAGGTGGGTGGGAGGGACTTGATATTTCGAGGGAAGGGGGTGGGGGCTGGACTAAATATTCCATGGGAGTGGGGGGCAGACACTTGTAAAAGTATATATTTTCTATATAACTTTCATTGCGTTTGGGGGGGGGGGGGGAGCTGTAGACTTACTTCGGGCGAGCGGAGGACCCCCCTCCCCCACCACGAAGAGATCTCTGGAAGAAACTCTGCGCGTTACCCATTGTGCAGCAGAAATGCTACAACAGTAGCAGCTTAATGTATAAAGACTACACTGCCCCTGATAAGCATTTAGAAACACTGTTCCAATCGAAAGATTAGAAATATGAAAACACATTAATTGCAGTCATAAAGATGAACAGTTGTTTTGAAACAAAAATAGTTTTTAAGCCAGCAGTAGAAAAATAGTTTTAAAAAAACAGCAGTAGAAAAATAGTTTTCATACCAGCAGTACAAAAATAGTTTTCATACCAGCAGTACAAAAATAAGTTTTATAACCAGCAATAGAAAAACAGTTTTCAAACCAGAGGAGGAGAATGAGTGTCCATATCAAAAGTAGAAGAGTAACCTATTAACTCAAAATAGAAATGACACTTTCAAACTAGTAGAACTAGTAGAATAGTAGTTTTAAAATCAGCAGATGATTTAAAAATATAACAAGCAGTAGGGAATTCGGAGAATGTTCTTTAAACCAACAATAAAAAAAGTTTTCAAACCAGAAATGCAAAAAAATATAAATAACCGTCGGCGAGAATGAGAAAGCGATAGGACACTCGGCTCTTGTGTGTGTGTGTGTGTTTGTGTGTGTGTTTGTGTGTGTGTTTTTGTGTGTGTATGTGTGTGTGTGTTTGTGTGTGTGTCCACGCTCATACATTTTTTAATCCTGGCATGTGTTTTATTTATCATCAGCTATCGGAAAAAAAACTAACAATGTTAGCAGTATTAGACGATAACTGTCCGCCTACAAGATAAACCTGGACAAAGGATTTCTGTGTGGGTGGTAAAAAATGTAAAGCTTGCCATTTGGGGTCCTGGTGGTCTAATAAACAGAGAGCTGAGCTCGTCCTTTGTTTCTTAAAGTGCCCATAATGCTTTTTGTTTTTCCTCACATACATGCGTTACCACACCCTCTTGATATGTATTGCTGTAATATTGAAGTTAACTGGTCTCATAAGGCTATTTGACTATTTTTTATGACATCAAAGCTTAAGAATGTATTCCTTAGCCACTGGTTAAACGACAATGCAAAAGAAAGAAAGAAAGAAAAAAAGAAAGAAAAAGAAAACAGCTATTTAAGTAAATAGTATAACTCTTATTTCACCGAGTGTGGTAAAGAAACGTGTTTAAGATCGATAATTTGGTGGCAATCAAAGACACTTCAGTTCGTAATTCGAATCACTAACATTAAAGCAGCTACTTTTTCAAAGTTCAATTAATATACGTAAATCGAGACATTCTTAGCACGGGAAGTTCGTAAAATGGGGCTACATGTGATTAGCTGACCGACTATTGGTTGACTGATAAAACACCCATTGTCGCATATAAAAACATAGTTACATTAAAAGCAGTTTTTTCAAGGCATACTTTCGAAGAAAGTCTACTCCACCCCCTCCCCCCGAACGAAATAGAATTTATATAAAAATTTATACTTTTAACAGTGTCCCCCTTCTCCCCCTCCCCCCCCCCCCTCCGAAAATGTCAAGTGCCCCACACCCGCAGAAAAAGGTCTGAAAGAAACACTGACTAAAAGCCTCGTCAAAAATCTTTAACATACCAGATATCAACACAGACATACAAATAAAATAAACCGGGAGTGATTTCCCCTAAACTTTCTCGACTATTCTTGTATAAAACAACAGGGGATGGTAACTCGGGCTATAGACATGATTTTTAATCCATTTTAAATACTTAAAGTTTTAAAAATAAAATAAAATCTCGTAGACAAAAGAACTGCACACCAAGTGAACGCCAAATAAAAAAAGTGCATAATAGTGCGCAATATTATTAGTACTTTAAAAATCTACGTAAAAAGTAGCGTAAATTAGTACTTCCGGTCAACGGAAATTACTCAAAATTTAACAGAAGGTAGAGAATTAGATCTTATACTTACATGTGAAATTTCATTTATCTATCTGAAATAGTACTCAAGTTATAGGCTTTTGAAAAATTCAAAGTAGAAAAAGTACCACTTCCGGTTATCGGAAATCGCTCAAAAGTTGATACGGATCTACGAGTTTGATAAAATACTTATATATGAAATTTCATCAACCTAGCTGTAACGGTACTCAAGTAATCGTGTTTACACACAGACACACACACTGACAGACACACAGACATACGGACAGAATTACAAAGCCCAGTTTTTCAGACTGGATTACGCATAAAACCTCTTAATTTTGATAAATCTGGATTGATAATTTTTGCCCGATTAAAATAAGTCCTCTATACTTCGGATGTGATGAAGGACTGAGGTTTAATACGGTGAAAATTGTTAAAATTTCAAGTGATTTGTGTGCACGTTTACAATACTTTCTCTATACTTCGTAAATACGAGAAAGTAAAAAGACAAAATTTGCACCCATTTCAACTAGTATAAACCTTTCTGCTAAAGGCCAAGACCTCCAAATGTAAGGTTAGTGTGTTGGAAACCGATTAGACAACGTATCCCCAGGGGTTGCGTGTGTTTAGAGGGGGGGGGGGGGTTGATGGAGCGGTTGGAAGAAAACTTGCTGGTTCAACATTCTATATGCTGACACGGCAAACTCTAACTTGCTGGTTCAACATTCTATATGCTGGCACGGCAAACTCTAACTTGCTGGTTCAACATTCTATATGCTGACACGGCAAACTCTAACTTGCTGGTTCAACATTCTATATGCTGGCACGGCAAACCCAAAGACAAATTAAGTAGTAGAGTCTAGTTCTAAACAGAAGCAAGTTACAGGATAGGAAATGTCAAACCCAATTATGGTCGGTACAAATATATTTTTATACGTTGCACACTGTCTTGTAAGTCAATATATGGTGTAACAGTTCATTAGCACTAAGCACTTCCAGACAAAGAGCTAAACAAAAAATATTTAGCTCAGTTCCATGTTATGTGATATAGACACCAATTAGACTATACGTTTTAATTAGCAATTACATGATCCAGAAGAGATATTGATCTTATAATTTTATTAAATGCCGATGCTTAAGACAAGCAAACTCTGCTTCACCTGCTATATAAACTAATTAACATATATCTATAATATCTGCACTGCCTGACCCCGTTATATAAATATAACCCGTTATATAAATATTCGGGGTTGTGTTGGGGGGGGGGGGGGGTTGCAGCCAAACAAACGCTAGCATATTTGACATACATGACGCATGTGTATATCATATGTTTGTTATGGTTATGCTAATATAGGTCAGTCGACGTCGGGCTAACCAATCCAATCAATTAGTGCCGATGTAATAATTCTGCATGTTTATATCGCGGTTTGCGTCAACACAGCCCGCAACATTGTACGCGTAGCTTTAAGGGTTTAGTGCAAAGCATTCGGTTAGAATTGATTTAACACTATTTATAGAATATTACAGTGCATGCCAACATAGTTTTTCTACTCTAAAAAAAACGCCCGTTAAAACAACACAGCCGATACAATTACAAAGCGCACAGTCGATGAATAATATAGAGAAAGGAAATTATAACATTAATAAATAAACATTCCTATAGAATTAAAATTATTCTATTCATTATTCATATTGCATAATACATTTTATTGATTAGACGCGTAAAACGAAATGCAATTATCCTTGTATTTTTTTTTTGATAATTATGTAAAGCTTTAACAATCGGTACTTTAAAAAAACAAAAGTGTGAAGTTCGACTTTTAAAATGATTATTTGTGTAAATACAAGTACACCAATGTTTTTAAATAGACAATGACGCAAAACTTGTATAGCCTGTTTAAAATGTCTGTCGGTTCCTTACAAAATATAGCTTAAGCTAATCCTAACTCCAATTTATAGGGTTAAGTAATTAAAGATAAACTTTAGGGTTGGCAATCAATGGTGCAGACGAAGTAGAGTTCATCTGTTTCTGTGACCGCGGCATAAATGGATAGTATTGTTAGGACAATGCCCCGACTGTCTTCATTTTCCCTAACGTTAGTCAGGTACTCATCAGAGCTGGGTGGACTCAGAGACAATATACAACTTTAACCTGGAATTCAAAATCAAGACTTTTTGGCTTAACAGTTGTGCGACCTACTATCTGACTGCACTAGTCCATATCATTAACGGGTTAGATATTATCTTAAGGTTGTGGTTAAGACATATTTGTATATTTTTTTTTCCTTTTAGGATTTTATACTTTAAACAGTTTCCGAACTATCATATGTTATACAATATATACAAGAGTACAAATTATTCTAAAGACCAAATAGACGTTCTATAAATTGCCTAGGAAAATAAATTATTCTCACTATTTCATAGTTAGCCTAACAACAACATACATTCTATAAAATATTGTGATTTGTCACATTGCCAATAACACACATTATATGGATGACGGTTTGACAATATTATGGTCATTAGATATAGAAGACAGAATCGATTATTTTGCACTTCAAAAAATGTCATTTTATGGAGATTTATTTTTACGTAAACTTTTGGAACTATTAAAATTTTAATGACAAAACCTAGCCATCCATCAATCGTGTAGGCTCCTTTTAATGTTAACTTTGTTTTTTTCTCGTTAGTTATAATCTGTTTTTAATTGATCGATTTTTTGATCGATTAAAAATCGATATATTATATTACCATGCATTAAAGAATGCAATTACTTAATACATGATTGATTAAAATATCCACCAGTAAACTTATCGATTGTTCATCCATCCATACATCCACCATTTCTTGAAATCCACCATTCATTCATCACCAGATCCATTCATCTGTCGAACAATCGTCTTATCCATCCATCCACCCTCTTATCCATCCATCCACCCATTAATCCATCCACCCTCTTATCCATCCATCCACCCATTAATCCATCCAGCCCTCCACCATCTCATCCATCAACAAACACATCCATACATCTAATACAGCCATTCATCCATGTATCCACACATCATCTATCCATCCAACCATTCACTTAACTACCCATCCATCGATCCATCTATCCACCCATTCATCTATTCATTATCTCATCCATCTACTCACCCATCCATCTATTCAGCCGTCATGAATCATTTGATTCATCTAACTCTTTCTGTCTACTTATAACGAAACCCATGCAATACATCCTCTCACCATCCATCCATCCATCCATCCACCCATCCATACTCACCATCAGAGTCAGCGTTGCCCATCATCTCAGCAATCTCTCTGTCCGACATTGGCCGTCCTATCGCCTTGATTACCTCCCTTATTTCAGTCCTGCTTATCTTCCCATTCCCGTCTTGGTCAAACAAACAGAAGGCTTTGTTGATATCTGTGGAGTTAAAGTAATCACATTCTATACACCATGTTAAGTTTGTACATGATATTAAGTTTATACATGATATTAAAAGTTTATACATGCTATCAAGTTTATACATGATATTAAGTTTATACATGATATTAAGTTTATACATGATATTAAGTTTATACATGATATTAAGTTTATACATGATATTAAGTTTATACATGATATTAAGTTTATACATGATATTAAGTTTATGCATGATATTACGTTTATACATGATATTAAGTTTATACATGATATTTAGTTTATATATGATATTGAGTCTATACATGCTATTAAGTTTATACATAATATTACGTCAAACACAGTGTGATTCAACAAACAAAACGCTTTGTTGATATCTGTGGAGTTAAAGTGATCACATTAAATACATGATAGTGAGTTAAAACAATTCGCTGTTTACTGGTGATATCGATGATTTATGATTTACATACCCTATTACGTTAAGTATTCTTTGTTTGATATTATATAACGGTCTGTGTAATTAACAAAATAAATAAATAATTAAAATGACTCTATTTTGCCTCAGGGGGGGGGGGTGGAGAGAAACAACGGAAGTACCCTTGGAATTTGAATACTAGGAGGAAAGCGTACCGGGGTAAGTGTTACAAAGGGCACGAGTTGCCAATGCTTCATGGTCTCTCCACCTTTTCCAGTATACGTGCAGTAACAACTTAAGTTGCAGAAACTGCTGACATGAAAACCCGAGTTAATAATCCTATCGTCTAAGGGTCTACCACACGGTCTGATTTCGGAGTTGTCTCGCTTAGATACGTTGCTCTTTCCAGTCAACGAGCCTATCTGCCCGTAAGATTGAAGTCGGGAATTTAGTTTAGCAACATTTTCCTTAACAAAATAAACAGGCCGTCCCCGAATTAATTAGCTCATTTGATTAAGAACTTATGTAAGCTAGCTACAAGCTTTGATACATAACAATTGTAAACTCATATACATTATTTAAACATAGAGTTGCACTCTCAAACGCACGTACACAGTCTTAAAGCACACATGCATGTTTTTACAACATACACAAACTATAAAAACACAAGTATGCGCACTCTGAAACACAATGAAACACATTAAACTTAAATTCTTACTCTGAACTTTTTTGAAAATTTTACTAAAATTATACACATACGAGCACTCGATATGAAGTTCAAAAACATTAATATATCGGCACTCTAACACAAACGTACACAACGCATATAAACCACCTACAATACTTTAAAACCTGCGCAGTACTTTAACATCATAACAATACTTTAAAACCATACGATACTTAAACACATAAGTAAAAAAAACAATACTTCAAATACGCTCTTAAATACAACTGCACACAGTTGCCTTTTTAATCTTGCTTCTCTAATAAATTCTACATTAATTCCACGATTTAAAACTTGTTAGTATAGAACAATTTATCGAACATTGCCTTAACAAGACGCTATATTTTGGCTTAGATTCAATTACATAACGGTGCATATCATTTTTTATCTATGCAGAGCAGTGGTTCTAGACCCTAAACCTTCTTGTTGTTCCGGAACTTAATTAGTTTCACCGAACCTGTACTTTTATCGTCTGCACTGACAAAATTAGATCATATGAGTCAGGAGTAAGTCTTGACATCCGTCAAACCCCTGAAACTTACTCCTGAAGTTCGGTTGAACCCAAGTTAAGAACCACTGGTACAGATACATTAATGCATTAATCGTTTATGATCTAGCTATATAAAATAGTAACAGTGAAATATAGAATTGGCAGTTTCAGGCCTGTTTAAAACACGTACAGACTAAACCAGCTGTTTCGTTAAAACCGCTTGCGTCAGCATTTATATTTTCTTTGTAAAAAAAAAACCAACAACAAAGCCACAGCAATAATCTAAGCTGGGTTGGAAACAAAACAATTGTTTCTATATTTTAAATCAATAAGTTCGGGTGGGTGGAGGAGGAGAGAATAATGTAGCTAAAGTTATGAGCTGTTCAATTATTTTAACATCTAAAGCTTGGATAATTTGATGAACTTTTGGAACATTTCATGATCGCTGGACGTTATGTTTTATGCATCTAGCGCTATTATCATTGTAGGTTTAAACCCTACGCCCCTTGGTGTAGATAGTTCAAGCAACTTTTTATAAGTTTCACTCATGCATTAACCACTTTTTTCAGTCTAATTTTTATTTTACCCAACCACGCAGCAATAGTGTAATTCGAAGAGGAACACACGTTATTTATTAAGAAAGGTGAATGGCGTGGTTGGTTTGTAGAGCACGCAACTGCTAACCCGAAAGTGCCGAGTTCGGATCCCGCGCTCAAGTGAGTAAAAACGTGCACGAGTTCCCCTTCCCCCCCCCCCCACCCACCACCACACCCACACAGAGTATCAGACTTGTTACAAAAAGTAAAAGCTGATGGGCTTAGTGTTGGCTCTTGAAATCGTTATAAGTCTTAAACGTAAGTCGTATTTCCATTGTAATTTAACCATAGTAAAAAACATAGGCTATATATCTGACTGCTTAACTCTAACCCTGACTCTTTAGGATCAATACAAATCAGTGCTTCAAGCTATACCAATCGCCCAATGGAAGTACACATCCTTAATTGAAGCTATAGACATCTCTAATTAAAGATCTACCAATTTAATTGAAGCCATCAAAATCTATTATATATGCTGTACGAATTACCCCCCCCCCCCCAAATAAAAACAACAAAAAAACCTTCACAAATCCGTTATTGAAGCAATACTAATCTCCTTTTGCACTGATACAAATCCCTAATCCTATCTATCACGTGAACTAGTCCAGATTATTATAACCTTTATGAACCTAATCTAACCTCACAGAATATCCCTGTATAGCCCAGCATGTACATTACGGCTTGCGTTTATCTACAAGAGTCAAATATTGTCCCAAAAATGTAACCACGCTAAGCATACAATGGAGCATTACAAAACTCCCAAAACGCTTTTAGTTGATTGGGTACCTACAGGGGAGACAATATTGAGTGGATGTTTTCTTTGAGAGACGATAGTTATCGCCCTTCAGGGAGCAAGACAAAAAGGGAATGAAATATGGGATGTTGGAAAATATAATGAAATAAATAAATGTTTATGTGCTAGGGATGATTTGTAGATGTAAGACATATGTTGATTCAGGCTTGAATAATGAGTTGACCTTATATGTGTGTTGCAGTTTGAACTAATTAGTTGACATTGGAAAAGCTGCTGGATATAAATAGCTACTTGGCTTTATTCAGATGCTGGTCCTAGTGCAGAAAGTTAAGATGATTTTTTTTTGCAGGATAAGCTAATCTAACAAAAATGTAGGCCAATTTCCAAACTTCTAAGAATTTGATAATTCTGGAAAATTTGCTTTACAAAACAGCTATTTGATCTTTTAAAGGGCTGATGAGTTGTCGAAGCAGTAAATTATTACAACAAATAAAAAATACAAGTCTACTTACTCATTTGTCCCAAATTAAGCATGTGTGGTGGGATGGTGTGGAGTGCTATGTATAAGCAAAACAAAAATAGTTGCGCATTCACTTAAACAGATTACTTGTATCTATATATATAATTCTCTTCATGGGGACCATATGAGACACGACGTAGCTTAGCCTTTCCTAGGCATATGACCACCACCCTCATCTACACCTGTCAATTGAGCTATGATTCACCCCGAATGTTGACAATAGTAGAGCCGGTTTGAATACGTGACGGCTATTAGGGGCAGCTAATTTAGTTTTTAAACGATTTGAAACTAAGTTCTGCTTGATATTTTCATTGTCGTCTGTAAACGGCTGCTTTCACTAAGCGGTGTGGGGTGTGGGGGGGGGGAGGCAAGGGGGTGGGGTAGTGTCGTATTCACAAATTATGCATTGTTTATAAATAGAAAATAAAACAACTAGGTAGCGGCGTATGATTTTTAGAAATATGATAATTATGAACGAATAATTTAAAAAACTATAAAAATAGATAAGTTTAGCCCGAAATGAAATTAAAAAAAAATCAAACTCCGTTCTCTTTACATTCTCTTTAGTCAAAAAATTATTCTTATAAATTGTTCACACATCTTCTCATGCAAAAAAAAATCATTTATCGCATTTAAAAATATCAAATGTGTATTGCATTTAATTTTCTCTTCAGTTCGGGTGCGGTACCTCATGGTGTCACACCCCACCCACCACACACCAAAAAAAATGAAGTATAGGCTCTCTATATATTTTGATTTACAATTGGTGTCACCCCCCCCCCCTCCCATTTTGCAAAATCGCTTAAGTTTGTGAACACATAACACAGTATTTTAATTAAAGTGGATCTAAGCAACCTTTCCTCGTTATCTCTATAGTTAGCAGGTTTACTTCATATACATACATATACATTATATATATATATATATATATATATATATATATATATATATATATATATATATATATATATATATATATATATATATATATATATATATATATATACTTTCTTGAATTGCGACTTTTTCTTACACAGACTTGAGAGAACGTGTACATTGACGGAAGGGTTATCTCCGCTTTGCTTGTAAATATTTGATGGTTGTCTGTGTCGTGATCTCAGCGCTCGGCTCGCTAGTGGTTTTCCTTGGCTGAATTATTGATGGCGGGACAGAATCAGTGGCTCCACGCAAGCTTCCCCGTCCCCCTACAGAAGTTTGGGGAAAGCCCGTCGGGCACGCACCCCGAGGTGAGTACTATGTCAGTGTCAACACGACCCGTAGATGTCTTTTAGGTGTTGCCATAAATGTTACGGTTGTTTAGGTTACTTTTTTTTTCTGTGTATTTTTTTTTTTTTACATTTTTCTATTGCGATTGTTGAAGAACACGGGAGGAAGGGGTGGGAGGAAGGGGCACCGGTAGTGAACATACACGACACATCGTACGTAGGTGTGAGTACAGGTGCAAATACGCATAATTTAATACACAGGCATTCATGTACAAAGT